GGCTGGCCTTGCGTGCCGGGCGCGGTGGCAGAGTTGAGGGCGGTTGCGGGGAGGCCCGCCAAGCCTCTAGCAGGTGAGTGCCCAGGCCTCCTTTGCCTGTCCTGGAGGGTGCCCAAAGTCGTGGAACATCCCCTGGTTAGAGCTACTTCACTCCTACACCCTCACCAGACCAAAAGGGGAGTGCCCTGCTCTCAGCTGTAACCACCTTGGGAGGCAGCCACCCCTCTCTCTGGTTCTGTCCTGGGGGCTTGGGCTTTCATTCCGTGTTGCATATTACAGGTAATGTCATAACCACCCCAAGTGGAGGAGGACTCCCAAAGTTTGCATTCTTGGCTGTAGCCAGGATGAGGCAGATGAGCAGGAGGGCCCTGGAGATAGTAGCATTTTCCCACCAGTATCTGCAGCTGACCCCCTCCCTACCTTCTGGTACACAGAAGCTCAACCTGCTTTTTGTTAGTGTAGCCTGCTTCCTCCTGTGGGGAGGACACTGTGATTGGGAGGATGCTGTGTCTGAGCACTGTGCTGCTCAGCGATGGTAAGACCTGAGATGTACTGTTCACATTGTGTCTGCCAGGACCCTTCCCTGCTGCTGGCCCTTGCGGTCATTGGGGTTACAGTGCTTGTGTTTGCCCTGAAGAACATGAACTCCAGGAAGAGAGATCCTATCACCTTACAGGACCCTGATGCCAAGTACCCATTGCCTTTGATTGAGAAAGAGGTAGTGGATCAGCCCAACCCCTCCCCTTGGTTGGGTGAAAGACAGGAGACAGAAGTGGTGGGGAATATTGGATGGGAAAGTGGGGTGGAGTCATATCATGGGCCAGTGGAGCTCTTTTCCCAGGAATTTGAGCTTCCCAGCAAGAGTTCTAGAGCTGATAAAGCCTGCCTCTGTTTTGTTTTTTTTTTACTAGAAAATCAACCACAACACCCGCCGGTTCCGCTTTGGATTGCCCTCTCCAGAGCATGTCTTAGGGCTTCCTGTAGGTGAGTGGGGTTTGGTGTCATCTCCAGGGCTCAGCCTTTGAGGGTTAGGTACTCTGTTCCTATCAGAAGCACAGGTTTCCAACCTCCTGAGGTACGAGGTTTCCCTGATACTCTTCCTGAACCATATGGGCTCAGGGAGAAGAAAATGGGCTTGGGATCATTCTTCATTATTCCATTTGGGCTAACTAAAAGTGGTATCTTAATAAGCATTGAAAAAGAGATGATGCTAGAGACAGAAGATCTAAGATCTCATTGAAGGCTCCTTGGAAGGTTCTTTGATGGGCATCGTTAACCAAGTTTCTCAACCTTTCTGATCTTCAGTCTATGAATTGGGATTTCCCAGGCCCTGCCTGCCTGCTTCATTTACATTATAGTGAGGGTAAGGTGATTGACAGATATGAAAATTCAGAAACTGCAAAGCATTGTGCACATAGGAGGGAAAGGAGGAACTGATGTTCCTCTGCAGTTAGGAGAATGCTCAGAATGTGGGGGTAGGCAGGTACCTTCCCCTCACTGTGGATTTTCTATAGGGTCCCCAGATCTACACAAGCAGGAACTGTTGTGATATCAGTCCTAGCAGTCTTAGAGTTCCAAGTTACCCTGTTTTCAATCTGTAACACCTCTAGACAGCTGAGTCAGTCTGTAAGGTGGAAAACTTCAGGGCCTAGGGATCCAGAGAAACTTTGTATAAACTACTTGTGCGTCTTACTTCCTGTTAGATATCCTAATCCTCAGCCTACTCGTCTCATATGAACAAGAGAAAACCTTAACCTCAATTCTATAGGGAATAAAATTATACACTAGGCAGCTAGACTGGCCCATCAGCCTCCTTGATGCTCCCTAATTCCTTCTCTGTGCATGACAGTGCCATGTCCTGCTGCCTTCCAGCCCTCTGACTAGCCTGTCAACAGTCCTGTTTGTAGAAAGAGTAAAAGAATGAAAAACTTTGGAGAAATAAAATTTCCTTGGTCCTGGTGGAAGCTGTGCAGTTAGTGGGATCAGGGTAATTTTAGTGAGTTCTGGGAGAATTTGATATGAGGACACAGGATATTGCTGATGCTTCTCAACTTAGCTGAAATTAAGCTAGTTAGAGATAGGGCCCAAGGGACCAGTGGGTCAGCCCCAAGTTGTCTGGGGATGCTGCTAGACCAAGCCCAGGTTAGCTGCATCTGAACAGCCTTTCCAGATTCCCAGTATCAAGTGAGCTCTCAGAAGGAGGCTGCTCCAGGCCTGTGTGCCTGAGTATCCCTGGTACCCGGCCACACCATAGTCAGTCATCAAGTGTGCTTACACCTCAGACCTCAGGGCCTCCTCAAAGACTCTGGTTTATGCTCCAGAAACAATTTCAAGGACTGGCTTCTTGACTGTTCCACTCCACCACCTTTCCTCCTCCCTACCGTCTTTTCCCTACCCCGAGACAGAGCCTCTATCTCTACTCTAAAGTCTCCATTTTTCTGTATGTATCCATAGTGTGTTGTCTAATGTCCTGGGAAAACCAGTTTCTACTTCCTCAGAAACTGACATGTATTCTTTTCTTGCCTCTAGTGTTAGTGCCTCTTGGTAGCAACTTTTACCCTCAGCACTAATTGCCATGGTCACTGGAGTCTCCAGTTTAGATTCAACAGAAGTCTGAGCAGCCCAACATATCATCTGATACTGGGCTTAGTCTCAGTGTCATACGAGTGTGATGAATTCCACTCTGGAGGGGCAGAATTTCATGGTTCAGAATTTTATTGCTGTCCCTCAGTGGAGCCACAGGTCAGAAAGACACAGTGGTGTTGCTTTATTTGGTCCATAGGTGTCCAGATACTGGGGCCCTGCAGTGTCTATGAATCCCAGGCCTGTTCTGTGCCAGGCACTAGGATACAGATGGGGTAGCTGTGACTTATTCACAGACCCCAGTGGTACATCCAGTTCAGGAAGAAATGAGTTTGTAAAGATAACATTTTTATTTGGAAGCAAAATTCACCCTCCAATTTCAGTTAGCTTCTCTTCCTCTACAAATTACTTAAATTATGATCACATCTGAACAGGTATATCATCACCCCCACTTGTGTATGTGTGTGTGGTGGGTGGAGGTGTTAATGGGTCCAACCCAGAGCCTTGCACATGCTAGGCAAGTGTTTTAGCACTAAGCCACAACCCCAAGCCCATCATCCCCATTTTACAGATGAAGAGACTAAAATCCAGACAGGTAAAGAGGCCTCTCCTGGGATCCTGGATTTGAGCTCCTTCCCCACTTGTCCCCTCTTTACATCTTGCTGTAGCATTTGCTCCTTCACTGAAGCATAGTCCTTTCTGGGATTCCCAGGTCCTCCTTAGGCTGGCCATGCTCAGGCTAATATTTGGTGCCTCTTCTGTAGGTAACTATGTCCATCTCATGGCCAGAATTGATAATGATTTCGTGATCAGGGCATACACACCTGTCTCAAGTGATGATGACAAAGGCTTTGTGGACTTAATTATAAAGGTAAATTATATAAATGATTATAAAGATTAAAAAAAATCCATGTGCAGCTGTTTACTGTGGGTGTCAGGGTAGAGGGCAGTACTTTTTCTGTGAGGTTGCTCATGCCCCAAGCAGGACTTTCCAGCAGTGTCATTTAACAATGGAGCTATAGTAAACCGAGTGCAGTCTTTAGGTATTGCCCATAGCAATTGTGGGAGTGGGTCATTTTCCCTGTGTGGCTTTCTGTAGCAGATGCATTTTCTAATTGTGTGCATCTAGGGCCATAGATCTGAGCATGTGAAAATCAGGTTGCCTTGTTTTTCAGATCTACTTCAAAAATGTACACCCTCATTATCCTGAAGGGGGGAAGATGACTCAGTATTTGGAGAAAATGAAAATTGGGGACACTATCCTTTTTCGAGGACCAACGGGGCGCCTATTTTACCAAGGGCAAGGTACTGGGGTAATCACACTAAATCTCCAGCTGGGAGAAAGGAGATTCTTGCACTGGTTTTATTGTCATCCATATACCTACCTCACAAGGTCCTAATCTTCATGCGGTGTGTCTTCACTGTATCTCCAACTCAGTACCTGAGACATAACACTGAAAATGGATGATGGGTGAAATCCAGGCTGATTTGTTCTATTTCATTTGCTACACTGGGTGAGAGTGCTTTGTGAGGTTCCATATTAGCTTCAGCTTGCCTTTTGCCTCAGAAGAGAAGGCCCAGAGGTTCCCTGAGGAGGCCCAGGCTCTTCCTGCCTTATGGGGCTGGTATCATGGCCTGCTTCTCTGGCAAGTCCCTTAGATGGACTTGCTTCCTGGGAATCCTAAGGAAAGTCAGTAATCTTTTGCAGGCTCCCAGACAAGAGCTGCATAAATTAGAAGCATTCTCTGTGTTTCCAGGAAACCTTGCAATCAGACAGTACAAAACGAGCATGCCTGAGAAAAAACTGGTCTGTCACTTGGGAATGATTGCTGGGGGCACAGGTAAGAGGTTTCTGGGGGTGTCATCCAGAAGGTGAGCCCTAAGATAATTCTGACTTTGACTTTGGAGTTATTGGAGAAGGCATGGCACAAGAGATTCTTTCTATAGCCATGGTGGTGGGAATATGGAATTAGCATAGGTCTTGAACCTGGCCCTGTGTGCCCTGCTCCTCTGAACCAATGTGGAGGCTGTCCAGGGCCACAAAGAATCTTACATGGAAATCCAGGGCCATGTGGAGGCTATGTGGCCAGGTGGGGCCGACTGGACTGCCCCTGGTCTCCCAACAGTTTCTAGACTCATTCCAAGCCCAATTCTCCCAACCCTTGGGAATGAATAACGGACTGAAGAGAATAAACATGGAGACATACAGTGTGCCAGGTGCCATCATAGGCATTTTAAAAAGCATCACATTTACTTATTAATTAAGGTATTAATTAAGGTACTAATTCTGTTTTGCAAATGAGTATACTTAAGAGCTCAGAATGCTCTTTCCATCTTGCCATATGAAACTGAAAAAGGGCTTTTGAATTACTGTTGCATTTGAAAGGGACAATAAAATGAAGGACTGTTCCCCACTTTGAGTTTGGGGACAGAAGTGAAAAGATATCAGGGCTAAGGGAAACTGCTAAGCTACTGCAGGCCAGGAGACAGGAGAAGCTGTTCTGCCTGCCCACTAACTGTGTTCCAGGCATTACGCCCATGCTGCAGCTCATTCGCCACATCACCAAGAACCCCATGGACAAGACCAGGATGTCCCTCATCTTTGCCAACCAGGTCAGTTCTGCAGAGTCAGCCCTGAGCTTGCAGCTGGAGAATGGAATGTTCGCTGATCTGGGGCTCTGCATTCATTCCTCCCCACTGACCAAGCGCGTGCTGCTTGGGTGCCTGTGGCTGTGGGAGGGCTTAGTGGGCAGCTGGAGAAGCCGAGTCCAGGCTCCTTTTACTGCTTGTTTTTGTTTAACTTTTCTGTCATCCCAGCCAATGCTGTAGCATCCATATCTCCTTGATACATATTTCTTCCTTCCTTGATACATATTTCTGATTTTCTGAGTACAAAATCATAGATGCTGTCAGTGGAAATTTGGAAAAAAAATAGAGAAAACATATATTTTTACTTATTCTTTTTATGTGCTATATATTTCTGTGTGTGGTGTGCATGTGTGTGTATATTGTTTTCACTTAGCATTACCACATAGGCATTTTGTTCCCCTTAAAACTCTTTATGAGCTGGGCACAGTGGTGCATGCCTAGAATCCCAGTGACTCAGGAAGCTGAGGCAGGATTGCAAGTTCCAGGCTAGCCTCAGCAATTTAGCCAGGCCCCAAGCAACCTAGCAAGACCCTGACTCAGAATAAAAATTAAAAAGGAGAACAATTTTAAAGGGCTAGGAATGTGGCTCAGTGGAAAAGCAAGGCTGGGTTTAACCCCAGTATGTGCTATGCGTCCCCCCCCCAAAAAAAATGGAAAGACAAAAAATTCTATGAATATTTTCATCATAGTCTGTGTCAAGTTTGGATTAAATTTACTAAATCTACATTTTTTCCAGTTTTCAGTTATTAATGCTAAATGCCTGATGACTTCTAGATTCAGAAGTGAAAAACTGAGTGGAAAACTGAGACAAGAGTCTTGAAGAGTTTTATGATCCATACCTTCTGTGTACTCTGAGCCCGTGACAAGTGACTTTGGTTCCTTTCCCACATGAGGCTCCAGTCTGTTTTCTTTTGTAGTTCTTTGGTGGTGTCTCCTGAATGACTTCTTAGTCCCTACTTTCTTGCAGAAGACCTGAGCCTATAGTGAGCTTGTTCTAGTTGGTTCTTCCATTCCTGGTGCCTAATGTGAATATAGGAGGTGGGATGGGGACTTCCAAGTGAAGCCACCCAGCCTGTACAGCCACAGTCTCTTTTAGCAGCAGTTACTGCTGCATTGTGGGGAATGTCACCATCCCAGCAGCTCCTTCCATGAGAGGATGGGTTTGCTCTGTAGGAGCAGCAGAACCCTTGTTTATCCTGGTAGTCTACTGCATACACTCAAGCAAGGGTGGTGGCAGCTTGGGCAGGAGTGTGTGGGAGGACATACAAGCTGTCCCTGGAGGGTCTTTTATAATGTTCCTTCTTTTCTAGACAGAGGAGGATATCTTGATGAGAAAGGAGCTGGAAGAAATTGCCAAGACTCACCTAAACCAGTTCAAACTGTGGTACACCCTGGACAGGCCTCCCCTTGGTATGAACCCTGTTGCTTCCCTCACTGTGGGTCAGCTCCAGGCTTTGATCCACCTCAAGAACTGGCCTCTTATTTTGTTTTTGAGGATTGAGTTTGAGCATTTGGCTTTGGGCTCGGGATCCATATGGGAAATGCAAGTGTTGAGGGAGATAGGATTTGGATGGCCTGCTTGTAATGGTGACAAAAGGCATGTGTCCAGTATCTCAGGAGCACTCTATGAATTGTACTGAACATCAAAAGGAACACGGAGCCCCAGGGCTACTCTCAATACCACAGTCATCACACACACTGCAGCTGATGTGGCCACTGGTCTTTTCACCAGTCACGTCATTGCTCATGGCCACTGCAGCCCTCCCCATCCATCTCATTTGGACAGCAGTTGTCATATGCTAAGCCTCAGCCAGCACCCCAGCAACCATCATGCACAATGTACCCTGTGTGGCATGTCTCACACACTACCTGTCTTGTCATATGGCTCACTACCCAGCAGAGGGCGCTGCCCAACTCCACAAACCCCACACTATTTCATACCACGCCCTGACAGCTCCAGCTCATATCCTGACTCACTATACTCTAGTACACCTCATCATGGAGTCCTTCACCCTCCTCAGTGCTCACAGAAGTCAGTCATCAGCAGGGGCCTCTGAGTCCCAGCCAGGCCTGGAATATGGGGTAAATTCTGTCCCCTTATCCTCTTCTTGGGCTTATTACAGGGAGCTGCAGTACAGACTTCTAAGCCTTTGTAGAGCAGCCTGGTCTACTTAGCTGAAAGGAGGGAGGGCAGAAGCCTAGCATGGGGGTGCTTAGCCTGCTACCCCGTGACTCTTTCCTGCTGTGCTTCATTTCAGGCTGGAAGTACAGCTCAGGCTTTGTGACTGCTGACATGATCAAGCAGCACCTCCCACCCCCTGGGAAAACCACACTCATCCTGGTTTGTGGCCCACCAGCCTTGATCCAGACAGCGGCTCATCCCAACCTGGAGAAGCTGGGTTATACCAAGGATATGATTTTCACCTACTAGTATCTCCTTTACTCCTAGAAAATTTCCTGGGACCCTTTCCTCTATTTCAGAGTGAGTTCAACTTCTCCATATTAAACTGGGATGTTTTTGAAGGTGCATCTCTATGCACCCTTGGGCCCCCACACTGGCATTCCCCTTTTGAATATGGGGTCTAAGAAGAAGTGTTCAAGAGGCTGGAGACAAAGTGACTTCTGAGACCTCCTGCCTTGGAGGCTGGAAAGAGCTCTGTTATGGTTATCTGTCTCCATAGTAAAATAAACTTAAGTAGTCAGCAGATAACACATGAAGTATGGTTCTGTGAGAGACCCACTGGGCCTTGTCTGCCCTGCTTGAGAGTTGGCTTCTATATGTCCCTAAGGGGGTCAGAACTGCAATAGTGTCACAACAGAATTCCAGCAGAATCCAAGTAGGATCACAGTAACTCCCAATAATCTCTCTTGAACCTCTCTTTAGAGTGTGCTGCTTTTAAGGTCAGGCCTACAAAGTCTCAGGCACCCTCCATAATTCTCTCTTCCTTCTCTTCTGGGACACCTTGAAGTGGGAATGGGATTAAAGGCACACACATTAGGGCAATAAATCCCAGAGTAAGTAGGCTCTGGGAACTCCTTCCAGACTCCCTACTTTGGGCACAACAGAGGCATGGAATGGATTATTTTTTGAGAATACTCCAGGTGTTAAGCTCTGACCTGGCATGGGGCAAGGGTAGAGATGGTTACATACATAACTTCTGTTTCTCAACTTGCATGAAGATTCCAGAAGCTCTGCCTTAAATCCTATCACTAACCCCTAATGATACAAGGGACTATTATTGCCATCTGCTGTCCAGGACCAGGACAACATGTTGCTGCTATTATTTGAGTAGGCCAGAGATCTTGAGGGGATTTTGTTCTCCAAGTTGCAGATGAGGAAACAGGTTACGAAATTAAGTGTTCCCACTAAGTGTGCAGCCAGTAGGTAGCACAGCTGACTTTAAAAAATGGGTCAGTTTTATTCCAAGTTATTCCTCTTTTCACAAAAACTGACACAATGGAAGCAGTATTGACCTTGGTACCACTGGATTTGTTACCCACTGTATATGTGTATGCAGGACAATAGGAAGGGCAGAAGGAGCACAGAAGATGAATGCAGCTCCAGGGAACTCTCTGCAGTACAGCTGTCTTGCCCACAGGTGGCCATACAGTGGAATGGTCTCACAGAAGGCCTGTGGGAGGTCTGAAGGGAAGGGCTGGCCAGGCTTCATCTACCTACCCATTCAGCATGTCTTCTGGGAATCTCCTGCTCAGGGAATGACACTTTTGCTGGGTACTTTACCATAAGATCCTGACCTCAGGTTTTGCTCTAATTGCAGATCTGACCATGCTTGTTACCTACCTACTTTAAATCCTGCTCTACTTGTACTCTATTACCCACCCTGGCCACTCCTCTGTCTCTATGACATATTCCAGGGGCCTAGTTTGCAAGATCTTTCTTGATTGGGCTCCTGCTGACCTCATTAGATTTTTTTATTTCCTGCACCTCCCTTCTCTGATTCATTCTTTAGCCCAGTGGTTCTCAAATGGGGGGTTTTGTCCCTCCTCTACTGTGGGAACATTTGACAAAATATGGAGACATTTTGGTTTCACAACTAGAAGAAAGGTGCTGCTGGCATCTAGTGTAGAGATTAAGGATGCTGGTCAGCAGGAACCTGATCAAGAAGCAATTTGAGGTCAGGACTGGGCTTACCCATATAAGAGTAAAAGCTTCCTAAGGGACATAGAGGTAGTATCTGTGCTCGTCCTTGACAGGCAACATTTGGCTTCATGAAGGGGACTGGGAGAAAAATGGATACCACAGGGAGGGAAAGGATTAAGCAAGTCCTGGAGGGAAGGAAGACTCAACAGTGGGTTCAGAATGGCTGATAATGGAGAAGGGCCTGGGATGCTCATCTGTGGTAATTTAACTGAGGAGTTCTGAACAATGACAGGATTAAAACAGTGTTTTGGGAGGTCATCATGGGGATGGGGTAGAGAAATGTCTGGAGGGGACCAACTGGAATGATGAGGAATTAAGAAGACCAGCTGCAACAATTAGATGAGAGATGAGGTTGAAACTAGAGCATGGGGGTGGGAGGGAGGAAGGGGCTGGTTGGGGTGGGGACACTGACTGGGGCTTAGTGGCAGCTCTCTGAAATGGGACACATTAGAAAGGGCACAGCTTGTTTGGGAAGATGATGAGTTCCAGTAGAAATGAGTTTAGGGTGTGCAGAAGCTTTCCACTGGGGGGAGCTATTTAAGCAGACATTCCGCTTGAGGACAATGAGGGAAAGGCCTCAGAGATTGGTACACTCTGTGTCAGGATGAGATGAGGGAGTGTGTGTGTGTGTGTGTGTGTGTGTGTGTGTGTGTGTGTTGGGGACTCCTCTGTGCAGACACTGGGAGGCCCAGAAGATCCCTACTGAATATGGGTGAGGATGGAGGGCAGCCAGGGCAGCAGGAGAGAAGTCCCACAGCTCTTGCCCTGAATACCCTCCTCAGCCAGATTTCTGTGAATGGAAAAGATGCTCCTGTGAAGCAGCCCAGAGAGAACTCCCATAGTCCTTTCACCCCACTCAATCACTATAGAACATTCAGAACACTTTTTTTCCTTTCCTTTCTTTTTTTTTTTCCAGCAGAGGATTTATGACTAACAGTTCTTCCCCTTTGGTGTAAGAGCCTCCCAGCTGTCACCAGGAACAGCATGAGCCATTGAGTCCATGCACTGATATCTCATTGCACTCCCCACAAAGTGGTCTGTAGTCCATGTATAAAAGTACAAAAGATAGAAAGGCTTCAGTAAAGAACACAGCACAGTTGAAAACACTTAGGAACATGGGGGCCACCTCCTGGACACCTGTCCCACCATTCTGCTTTGCTTGTCAGCACCCACATCTGAGATGTCCCACCAGCTCCATCTGCATAGTACAGATGGCTATGTGCCAGCTCCCCATTGAGGCAAAGACTTAGGGCCCCACATGTGCCTCTCTGGGCTCTTGGCCATGAAGAATGTCATCTCCAGTCATCAGAGTTGGGGGCAGCCAGGCAAGAGTCATTCAGCAGCTGGTCCTGGCTCAAAAGAGTCTGAAACGACATAGCCAAAGGAGAAGTTTAATAGTTTTGGCCAAGGCTTCCCTACAACAGCTACATAGGGAGCAGAGGGGGCACTGGGTATGGTCTGACAGATGTCTGTAAGTTCCTGGTATCCCAGGGACCCTGAACATTGGGTCAGAATAAACAGTACTATTAAGGTAAAAAAAAAAAAAACTGCTCATCTTAGAGGTAAACTTGCTATTTCAAGGCCACAAAAGGCCTATTAGAGATGATAGGGCAAGGTTGGATAGATCCATTGTGATGTATGAGCCAAGAAACGAGAAGAGACCTGCTTGGATCCAGAAGACTCCTGCCTTGCCCTTAGAGTCTTCTAAACATGCCTCAGTAGATCAGCAAGCAAAGTACAGTGACAGGGGACTCAGTGTTTATAGACACTATAGCTACCAGGCTCAGGGATGGGCTATAAAGAAACTAAAACATCTGGAAGGCATGGGGCCTCAAAGACAATTTGTGCTCTGTAACTGGCCATTTTACTGCCAGCTCTTATCTGCCTATAACCCTTACAAAATGGGAAATACAGGTAACTAAGCCAAAGCTCAGATAGGGAACAATACACCTAAGGTAAAAAGCAGATGAATCTGCCTTTCTCCAAAGCTGCTCCTCTTCCCCTGAGACTGAGCTGCCTGCCTCCACGTGATCTGATTTGTTCTCTTGGATATATGGCAGTATATGCTAGCTTGCCTGTGATGTCCATGATGATGGGAAATGCATGTGTCTCATGTCCAGAGAGGAAAGAACCATGTCCAGTAGGCCAGAGGTGAGGGCTGGGCTCTGGGCTGACTACACAGGTGGTTTAGGGCTGCTGAACATCTAAGTTTCTTCACCAGCTCTGAGGTGGGGAAGAGAACCATAGACCTAGTATGTCTTACCTGGCTATAGCTAAAGGTCTGTGAGCTTTCAGATGCCCATTAGTGACTCAAGGCCTAGCAATCAGTCAATGCAGGAGGCCCCTAGGCTGCTTTCTGCCTTTCTGGGCTGACTCAGGCTTAGGCTGTGGCCTCAGGGCCCAGCACAATCCTTTACTCTCCCTTATCCTTGAACAGCAGCCCACCAAGCACCAGCCCTACTGTGTTGTGTTGGGGTGGGGGGTGAGGGTCTGAGTCCTACCGTAAGGCGATGAATGTCTTGGGAGAGGAGCCCTATCTGTGTCACAGTGCCTTCGGAAGGCGCCATCTGTAAAATGGGCAGCAGCCTGGTCAGGACACACAGATGCAGCTTGTAACTTGCAGAGATGGCATGCAATGTCCATCCTGCTCAGGCCTGGCTTCTCCAGAGCATGCTTCCCTGGAGGGTTGGGCAAGGAGTGTGCCAAGCCTTGAGAAGTGGCAAGTGCTGGGGTACGTGCTGCTTCTGTTGCTGAGGAAAGGTGTCCAATGTCCCACACTGCATGCACACACTTTTATGAGGCCACATGTCACATCAGCATTTAGGGCACGGAGAAGCAGGGCGCAGGTATAGCCTGTGAGAAGCAGCTCTGCTGCACATGTTCACTGTTCCAGATAATTCCAGGAGAAGAGAATAGGAGGCCTTTAGGATGCTGGATAGAATGACAATTTCCAGGTACCAACAGGATGCCAGATACCGATGCCCCAGTGTAGATGGACATCTTCAGGAAGCTGCTGCCTCCTCCCTACTGAGGAGCCTTCCTCCCCTCCCCTCCCCTCCCCTCTTCCTTGGGGAATGCTGGACTTCTTCTTCCCTAAGGTGATTTAGACATTGTAGGTTTGGAAGCATTCTTTATAGATTTGTAGGATATCAAGTGAAACCCCTTTTTTAACAGGTGGAACAACTGAGGCCCACAAAGGGAAAAGAGGACTTCCATGTGGCTGTAGAGAGAATTAGTGGCAAAACAGTTCCATGCAGGGTTTGAAAACAGGCACATGCAAAGTCTCTCACCAGGATATGATAAGAAATAAGGGATAAAGCTGGCCTGACTGGCTATATAGCCACAATGGCCAGGGATTAGCCTGAAGGAGCGAGTGCCATTCAGTTGCCCTGAGTGCCAGGATTGAACACCAGTGTTCCCAGCTGACAAGCTTGTATCTACATTTCTCACCAGCTGGACCTCAGGGGAGGTGGTGGTTTTAGGGAATAGGCCATGTCTGAGGCTGCTGGTGGTATGAGAAGCAAATCTTAGCAGCCTCTCCATCTGGGACAGAATCAGAGTGCTACAATGGAGTCACTGGCCCTGCCCCACTGTCAGATGATTATGACACTGCTGTTATTCTTCTGTAGATGAGGCCCAAGGGACCCAGTGAAGCCAAACACTGGCCTGGAGTGAACTGGAATCTCAAGAGCAGGAGCTCAGCCTGGCACCACATGACTCTGTCTCTGGCCAGACAGCGCCCATCTGGAGGGCCCATTATCAGCTAGTCAGCCTCTAAATCAAGAGGCCAGATCTGCTTCAGCCCTGCCAGCCCAGCGAACCATCCCCCACAACAGATATGAGAAGCTGGCAGAACACGTGAAAGAACAGAGAGTGTTGCCAGTAAGACATCCCTGCTTGTTACCCCCACCCTCCTTTAGTGAACCGGAAACCAACTTGGGGTCTGCACAGCAGATGTGACCTATAGCCAGGATGTACATGAGACCCAAGTTTCCCCTCTGCTTCACTGAGGGAGGTGGGGCCTGAGGCAGTCCTCTCTGAAGGATACAAAGAGGAAAAAGGGGTCCCTCTTTGCTCCATCCCCCTTGGGGAATCCTGACTGTGTACCTGGATTGGGCTCAGTGCCATAGGCTTTTAAGCTATAATCAGTAGGGTTCCATTTCCAGCCATGCTCACCTTTCTTCCCCCAACAAGATTAAAAATATGTTGCACTGTTTACTTCCTACATAAATATTGTTTTTATTATCAGAAAGAAACTACCTCTGTAGAGAAAGACATAACACAATTACACTGTCACCACGGCAGAAGTCCCTGCCATTTATCTCTTTGATCTCAGCCAAGATTCTCTGGCCCATAGGCATAAGGCACTTGAGCTTTTCTTTCAACCGCAGCACAGGGGAAATGCCTGAGAGTGGAGTCTTTGGGGATTGTTCATAGTCTCTGGACCTGTGTCTAAGTTCATGCATATCTGATGGTGCTGAAGTTGGCTGTTTAAAATTACTAAGAATGTAAAAGCATCTTTAAGGGTTTTTCATCCTGAGTCCACCTTTGACAACAGTCCCCAAAGCCTGCCTCTTCAAAGTATGAAGAGAGATTGGCCTAGGGCTACATAATTGCTGGAATGTTCTCTGCAAGTCATGCACATGAGCAGGGGGTGAGGTTGCAGTTATGATGGCACACGTGGTGTTACTGTGTTTTCAGGTGCACAGAGAGGGCAGGTGACAAGCATCAGCTAACCTGTCCCACCTGGTCCAACTCATCCAGTTCAGGAGCATCAAGGGGGCTGAGGCCTCGGCAGCCACTGTAGACCCGGTGACTATCACTGATAGCATCATTAGATTCCATTGGGCAAATGTAATCTGTGGATTCATCAAACTTCTTTTTTCTTATGTTTCCAAAATGTGAAAATCCCAGTTTCCTTGGCTAAAATACAGCAAATACAAGATTATGGAAAGATTACTACTCCAGTGTGCAGATATGACTGACAATATATTTAAGAACAGTCCTAGGAGGAAAGAACTAAGGCAAAGTGCTTCTTGAAAAAACTGAACCAAACAGGTCCTATAGGCAATTTCTATGCTGAGGAAAGGTCAAAAGATAAATAATCCTAAACAAGAACTGCTCCTCCAAGACTGTGGGAAAACTCATTCCCATTGTCCTATTTTCCCAGATGGACTCAGTTCCTACTAAACACCAGCCTGCACTTGAGGCCAAGCATGGAGGACTTGCCTCACCACATTTGATGACAGTACACTAGGGAGCAGCACCCAGTGCCTTTGACACCAGTGCTTTGAGAGCCACACCAGATGCCCTGGGTTGGTCTTCCTTCGTGCTTTAGCTTTGCCCAGCACTGGACTCCCCCCCTCAGAAAGTCCAGATACTTGCTGTATCTGGAAAGAAGGTTAAGCTCTGTGAGCTGTGCTGTGAGGCACCATCATGCCTGCTGGGGAGGGGCCAACCTGGCTTCCAGAGAGCGAGTCTGTGGGCCTGTGATCTGGGAAGGACATGGTGGGGATGTTGTGGCTCGGGAAGGGCTTTGTGGGATTTAGGGAGCCCACAGATGCTTGGTCTTGGTACTTAGATGACTTCAGATTAGGGATATGGGACAGCTGTGTGCAGGCCACATCACAGAACAGGACAAGTGGAACCAGCTGCAACAGGAGCATTCCCCATGCTGTCAGGATAGCTTTGACTGAGTCCCCTGCACTGTGGCACACAGATGGGCCTAATGGAAGGGAATCCAGATCAGGAACTCATCTGCCGTGCAAAATGAGTAACAGTAGCACTGAGTAGAGGACAAGCTCCCAGCTACCTGAGAATAGATGCTTCCTGAACATGGCCTCTGTGTAAAAAAAATCTGTGCTCTCTTTCTTGGATTTAGGACAGGTAGGCAGTAGGCCTAATGAAGACAAACAGACCAAACTCCTGCAGCAGAAGCTGAGTGCTGCTCCTGGTTCTCAATGTATACACTGATCTGGCTCCATGTACTGAGCCAGTGGCTATATGACCTGACAGCCAGAAGGAAGTCCCCAGGGGTAACCCAGAAAGAGTATAACAACTCACCCGGACTTTGGCCGTGGTAGTCAGTGGTGTATAAGCTGGTGAGGCCATTTTATCTCGCTTTTCCTGTTCAGCCTCAGGACCAATCAGGGCACTGAATTTCGTGGTCAGGTGGCGCCTGAGGAGCGTCTTCTGTGGTGGGATATTGAGAAGCATGGCCAGGGTATCCCCAGTGAAGCGTGGTTCCAGGATCTAAGAAGGAATCATAGACAAATTTAGTCAGTGACAACAGATGATACCTAGTAAGTAATAGGGAGAAACCGGCCTTCAGGGCCTTAGGATGCCTTCAAAATTAGGCTGAAGCTCATACCCTTGTTCTATGTCCTACTTTCCTCTCTCTACCCAGACGAGGCTTGGCTTTGAGCAGACACTAGCATATTTGTTAAGTGACCATCTCATTTTCACAGACCAACAGAAAACAGGGACCTCTTTAGGATGTCTCACAGTCTCTTACAAGTCTTGAACCTTATATGTTCAAACCACCACCTCCAAACAGCCACACCACCACCTCCATATTTCTTCTCTGGCTTTCCCACTTGACAGAACTGAGTTGTGATAAGGATTATATCATGGCAAGCAGGAAATTACATTTGATGACCTCCCCTTCATTTCCCAGTCCCCCTGTTCCTCTAGAAGCAGGTAGAGCTGACTTGTGTAGGTCTGATTCTCATGCATTCCCACTAACCTGGGATCTCTCGGTCTGTAGTGGAGGAAGCCCTTCCTGAAGCTATCTTGTTTCCATGGGGTATATTAATTCTTACCCACAAATTATCAAATATTTTGAAACTTCAGATTCTATAAAGGTTTCAGATGAAGTATCTTTTTTTTTTACTAGAATATATGTTTGGGCTTCAGAAAATTAGTTTCTGAATACCCAAGTCTACATCAAAGCAACTGGACTAGCCCAGAGTGCAACTCACAATAAGACCTCCATGGACGCCACTCCCTCGAAGGTTGGGTGCATACTCTGCCAGGTCCACAGATCGCAACCATTCCATCACCCTGTGGTTGGACCATTGCACAACTTCTGAAGGAGAAAGGTTACTCTGTGAGAGGAAGAAGAGTGAAGACATTAGACTTCATTGGTCCTACCACAGTCCTCTGTGGGGTCATCCCCTGTGAATGAATCTGCCCCAGAAACCTCACAAAAAGAAGACCCTTGTGCCTAACAACCCAGGCCAGCCAGACTGCCTCCCTGAGAGCCTTCTCAGTTCTGAGAAACAGCTCTTACTGGATTTTACATGATCTTCTACACTAAGACATCTGAATGCAGAATCCTGTTTCTCCCTAATTTTCCGGCTAACTTTGGGAAAAATAAATAAAGGCATGTAGTTTTTCATTCAATTATTCAACATAATTTTAAAGATTCACTTATGAGAAAAGTGTTTTATAAAGAAAAAGATCTTCTTGTGGACAAATGTTTAGGGGAATGTTATGGTTTGGATGTGAGGTATGCCCCAAAAGCTCATGTGTGAGACAACGCAAGAAGGTTTAGAAGACAAATGGTTGGGTTAGGAAGGCCTTAACCTAAAACAGTGAATTAATCCCCTGAAGGGATTAATTCTGTGGTAACTGAAGGTGGATAATGTGTGGCTGGAGGAGGTGGGTCACTGGGGGCATGGCTTTGGGGTATATATTTTGTATCTGGCTAGTGGAGTCTCTCTCTCTCTACTTTCTGATCATCATATGAGCCACTTTCCTCCACCACACTCTTCTGTCATGATGTCCTACCTCATCTTAAGCCCCAAGGAATTGAGACCTCTGAACCTATGGGCCCCCAAATAAACTTTTCCTCCTCTAAAATTATTCTCATCAGGTCTTTTAATCACAGCAGTGAAAAGCTGACTAAACAGGGAACACACATCAAGATACTCTAAAATGCCCAGCACTGGGCCTGGGCAAGCAAAGTATATTTGTTGAATACCGAGAAAACAGGAGGTGGAGAACAGAGGTAAGAGTCATTAATCCCCGAGGAAGCAAAGGTAGACAAAGTTTCCAGGAACAGAGGAGGTGGGATGTAATTGACAACACTTCAGTTTGGGGCCCACCAAGAACCCTGAGGTTCATGGAACAATATCAGATATATCATTTGGGTTGCTGTGTTTATCTGTAATGTTTTTTCTCTACTAAGACCTGCTCATGGATTCTGTATATCTGGACCTGAACATTGTTTAATTTTGTATATACAAGTAGGAAAAACTATTCTTTTTTATTTATTTATTTTTTTTTAAATTTTTTTTTAATGTTGGTTGTTCAAAACATTACATAGTTCTTGATATATCATATTTCACATTTTGATTCAAGCGGGTTATGAACTCCCATTTTACCCCGTATACAGCTTGCAGAATCACATCAGTTACACTTCATTGCTTTACATATTGATATACTCATGTCTGTTGTATTCTGCTGCCTTTCCTATCCTCTACTATCCCCCCTCCCCTCCCCTCCCCTCCCCTCTTCTCTCTCTACCCACACTACTGTAATTCATTCCTCCCCCTTGTACTGTTTTTCCCTTTCCCCTCACTTCCTCTTGTATGTAATTTTGTATAACCCTGAGGGTCTCCTTCCATTTCCATGCAATTTCCCTTCTCTTTCCCTTTCCCTCCCACCTCTCATCCTTGTTTAATGTTGGTCTTCTTCTCGTGCTCTTCTTCCCTAGTCTGTTCTTAGTTACTCTCCTTATATCAAAGAAGACATTTGGCATTTGTTTTTTAGGGCTTGGCTAGCTTCGCTTAGCATAATCTGCTCTAATGCCATCCATTTCCCACCAAATTCTATGATTTTGTCATTTTTTACTGCAGAGTAATACTCCATTGTGTATAAATGCCACATTTTTTTTATCCATTCGTCTATTGAAGGGCATCTAGGTTGATTCCACAGTCTTGCTATTGTGAATTGTGCTGCTATGAACATCGATGTAGCAGTGTCCCTGTAGCATGCTCTTTTTAGGTCTTTAGGGAATAGACCGAGAAGGGGAATGGCTGGGTCAAATGGTCGTTCCATTCCCAGCTTTCCAAGAAATCTCCATACCGCTTTCCAAATTGGCTGCACCAATTTGCAGTCCCACCAACAATGTACAAGTGTACCCTTTTCCCCACAACCTCGCCAGCACTTATTGTTGTTTGATTTCATAATGGCTGCCAATCTTACTGGAGTGAGATGGTATCTTAGGGTGGTTTTGATTTGCATTTCTCTGACTGCTAGAGATGGTGAGCATTTTTTCATGTACTTRTTGATTGATTGTATGTCCTCCTCTGAGAAGTGTCTATTCAAGTCCTTGGCCCATTTGTTGATTGGGTTATTTGTTATCTTATTGTCTAATTTTCTGAGTTCTTTATATAGGAAAAACTATTCTTAATGTATGATTTTGTAGGGCTCCTTGTCCCTTTTTCTCTGGTTTTTCTGTCCTCTGCCTGACACTCAAATTTCCACTTTGTGTATCTCTTCCCCCTTCCTTTGCATCATCTCCTCATCTCCTGTAATCATTATGATGACTTTGAAAAACTTGTTGCCACAGACATTACATTTGTAATGTAAGGGAGAGTGGAAGATTTGGAGGTTTAGTGGCCACAATGGAATACAAAAGTACAAGCAACATGGGTGTTTTGGGTGCCAGAATCCCAAGCACCACAGTCCAAAATGCAGCATTTTGTGATTATGTAAATCTTATTTTTTCACACAGGATATTTCAAGTGTCCTGGCTCAGGGCTCCCTGCATAGCTATTATCCTGCTCTCACCTCATCAGCTGGGCGCCGATGCAGGCAGTGGGGGTTGAACTTGTTGACATGCAGCACATGAATGGCACATTTGATGCTGAGATGATGTAGCTGGCTGGTGACTTTTAAGAAGAGTAAATCATTCTGGAAAAGAAAAGTTTTTATGAGCCAGTTTCCAAAGTGACAAGACTCCAGTGGTCCTTCCTGGTCTGGCCAAACAGACAAGACTTCCACATTTCAGGAAGGTGCATTATGGACATACCAACAGTTTCTCTTATCACAATGGTTTGTACTCTGCTACTGGGGATATCTTATGTAACAATCAATACTATTTCAAGGACTTCAGAATAAGATGGAATCAGGCTTAAAATAACAATCATGGGCATATCTGAGCCAAAAGCTCACAGATACAACTGAAATATTTAAAGGAAAAGTCCTTACCACAGTTAGGTATTGCAGCATTCGTCCATCAACTCTGGACTCATGAAACTGGTCTTTATATTGGGGTAAGCCAATATCATCAAGCCACCCTATAAATACAGGAAAAAAAAGATGTGTTGGGATTCCTGAGAATAGGAGCAACAATTATCATTTTGAGGTTCCAGTTTTTTTTCAGAAGATTTAGTAATCCATCTGCCTTTCACAAGGACACAGCTATCTTTGAGGCACACATTCAACATGGAAATTCTTTTTACCCTTAGGCACAGTCAGATACATACTTAATACATATATGCCTGTCCTTACGTGTTACCCAAATGTGATCCAGCAGCGCAGACTTCTCTTCCTGCTTGGTGTTGATGGCTTTCACTGCTAAAACAAGTTTCTTTCTATGAAGAGGGTGCTTAATTCCTAATTCCTAAAATTGCAAGATGAAGACCAGATGTAAAATTTTGGCAGACAATTTGATCTCCAGAGGATGTTGTGTCAGGGAGATGCTCTAAGAGTGTGGCAGGGGATCTGTGCACAAGACCCTGGGATGTCAACCTGCAGTTACTAAGGAAATCCCAGCCTTCCTGCCCATCTTCCTGTGTGTATATGGAGTGGGGGGCCTTCACCTTCCCATGAATTGGTCTGGGGAGAAATAACAGCCTCCTCTTCCTGGGCTCAGCTCTTACCTTTTCCATGTCCTGAGGGGTAGCTGTCAGTAAAGTGTGGCCAGATGTTACCCATTGCCTGGCAAAGATCACGTACTGAGCCAGGCCGAAGTCCTCAAGCCATGAACATACACGCTCTGTGCTCCACTGGGCAAAGGGGGCATTGGCATCACTGGGAAGCAGGGAAACAGTATACTTTTGTAAGTTGAGAGCCTGAGGTTCTGCGTATAATAAAGCCTCATCATAAAGAAACTACCTTTTAACAAACAACCCAACCATGGGCTATAGCTGAAGGAAATTCCACAACACACTCACATGAGGTACATTCAAGTCTCCTCCATAACAAATGAGTTTCAAATCCAACTACTTAGAGACAGCTGACATAATCCTTAAGAGACTGCAGTCAATAGGTCCACATATACCTCAACATGTCACAATCCCAGAGCATGGCCCTATTAGGAAGAACACCTACAACTAACTCATTTTGTCTACAAGATTCAACACTCTTCTTAAGGAAAACACTTAGAAAGTTGGAAAAAGACAATTGGTTCTCTAACATAAAAAAAAAATCAACAGCCCTCCAATTAACAATAGCTAATATTAATAAAATACTAGGGACTTTCATATTAAAAATCAACAAAGAGACAATATATTTTTATCAGTACTTAATAATAATAACAACAGTATTCTGAGGATTGCATAGAAAATATTATAATGTTTATTAGAATAAATAAAAGTAAGAAGCATAGCTACTAGAAAGGTAGACATAAAAGAAAATAGTTCTTTTCAGATGAGGGCTGCCTGCCTGGAAAGCTCAAGAGAGCTCAGTAAGGTGACTAGTAATAAAATACACACACATACACATATATACATATGTAATACGTATATTACAAGCAAAAATCAACCATTTTCTACACAGTACCCATGCACAGCTATTAAAGCATTTGTTAAAACAATAAAAATTCTCCCCCATACTAACCAAAATTATAAACGGCCTACAAATTGCCTTAACAAGGAATGTGTGTACCTGTGTATGTGATTGTGATGGGGTGGGGACCACAAGGGGGTAGAGTGGGGTGATATAGTAGCCATAATACTCAACTATACAACATAAAAAAAAAAGACATGAATAAATGAAGAGTTAGATCATGTTCCTAGACAGGATGAGTAGACATTAAAACCAACCATTCTTAGAGACATCAATTTTTCATTTAAAGTGTGAAAATAATGGAACATTCAAAATCCCAAAAGAAACTTTGTGGCAGGCAGTGGACAAAGTAACTTTATATTCATTTTTTAAAATAAATGGGGATTTATGGAATATTAAAGACTAAATTTTCAGAAAGATTTCTTTCTGTTGTTGTTGGTATCCACAGGAAATTGGTTCTAGGACCCCCTGCAGATAGCAAATTCTGAGGGAGTCAAGTCCCTTACATAAGATGGAGTAGTATTTACATACAACCTACACATATCCCCCATAAACTTAAGTCATATCTAGATTATTTACATTACCTAATATAATGTAAATGCCATGCAAATAGTTGTTATACTGCATTGTTGGAAAATGATGGCAAGAAAAATGTATGTGCATGTTCAGTGCAAACCACTGTAGACCTAACCACATCTTCAGTACTCAGTTGGCTTAATGTGCAGATGCAAAACCACTTAATACAGAGAGCTGATCCCCACCCCTAACATACAGGAATACATTTTTTGAATACCTGGCTGAGCTGTTCTTAAAGGGAAAGGATTTCTTAAAGGGCCAGAATGACAAGAAAACACCATTCTAGAATCCTGGAGATGATGGAGTAGGATGGAGGTTGAGTCAGTCTTTCTTCTAGGATGACTGTCAATATTTTCTTTTATAATTATGAGAGTTTTAAAAAGTTTCAGCTTCACAATTTGTAATTGTAATTGGTATTGTCATGCACATTTTTAGAATCATTGATTAAATTTAGGAAAACTTCTATCAAGTATCTCTCACATATGAATGTTAAAGATTCATAAGTGCATTTACTTCATTAGCAAGTACATTCCTGACAGGAGAGAATTTCTGTTTTGACTAAGCACTCAAGAGAACCAAATCTCCTGCTTAAGATTTTGCAGATTTGATGACTGGAAAGAATTTCCACAGACTAGCTTCTGGCTTTGTTACATCTAAAATATGGTTTTGTTTCCATTATCCCATACTTTTGGTAATGGAATGCTAGAGGACACATTCATTTTAGAACATGACCTCTAGCATTCAAGTTTTCTATTGTCATGGTTAATCTTAAATACTCTTCAAATTGACAATATTCATTAATTGATGTGTTGTCCATGCTCTTTTGACGGTAGCATAAGTTTTATGTTATCTTTGCTGATGTTAGCATAAAATGTAAAATCAGCAAGAAATTTCAATCTTTTTACAATGTGTTCATATGACTCACTTTATATAAATAATACCTGAAAACTTATTTACAATTTCCATTTGAAATTTATTTCTTGCACTTACTGCTTTTGATATGGACTAACATTTTTTGTTGTCATTTATAATTTGTTTCTTAATATGAGAACAATTTCTCTGTTCCAATGCTCATTTTATCACTTTTATTTCACATGTTATTAGGGTTTTATTTCACTCATCTTCTCATTTCTGGAAATTGTGGGGAAAAAACAGAGATTGTATATATTAGAGAGGCATTTCAGTTTTGAAGGAGGAAATAAGAATTTTTGAGATCATAGTTTGAAAACTTCTGTCCTTCAGATGTTTCAACCAAACTAGAGTTCTGGTCCTCATTTTGGTAGTCTTCTCATTTATTGTTGTGTATACCCTCCCTACCCCACCTTGTGTTGTTCCTATAGTATCAGACCCAGAACTCCTCAGCTTCTGTCAAAGCCAGATCCCCAATCCCCTCTGCCAGGGATATGGCTGAAAATGCTAGGAAATCATTTAGAAATGACAGAGAAGGTACTTCTCATACACAACCAAACAACTTATTTTATTGACACATTCCAAAACATCTTTCCAAATTGCTGTTAAAATGATATACTGAGATTATCAAATATGCCACCTCCATGATAGGGGAAAGGGCATGGCACATTCATAAGTGCATACACTTCATTAGCAAGTACATTCCTGACAGGAGAGAATTTCTGTTTTGACTAAGCACTCAAGAGAACCAAATCTCCTGCTTAAGATTTTGCAGATTTGATGACTGGAAAGAATTTCCACAGACTAGCTTCTGGCTTTGTTACATCTAAAATACGGTTTTGTTTCCACTATCCCGTACTTCTGGTATGGAATGCTAGATGACACATTTGTTTTGGAACATTACTTCTGATTTGCATCTTTAGTTCTGGGCAACAAGCAAAATGGGAAGTAGGAGTGAGCACTGAAGCTTTTTTATGCTAGGATAGCTAGTTAACTAAACCCGACTGAACAAACTATGGAGTGATGGTAGGTTACATCCACAAATCCTACTCAACCTGAACTGGATCCCCAACTCAATTTCCCCTAAACCAGTTAGTTCTCAAAGATCCCTAAGTCTAGTCCATCGTCATCTGATAAAAGGAAAACTATAGACAAAGGGAAAACCGGAATAAAAGGACTCATCGGTCTAAACATTGTGTTTAAAATACCTTATATATGGATGGTGGAATGTGATGGTCATCCTTATACAAAATACATGTATGAAGATTTGAATTTGGGGCCAACATACTTATATACAAATAAAGATATGAAAAATAGTGGTACATATGTGTATTAAGAATTGTAATGTAAAAAAAGAGTACATGTAAATGGCATAAGTTGGCGTGAACATACTGTATATAAAGAGATATGAAAAATAGTACTCTACATGTGTAATAAGTAATGTAATGAAAAATTAAATAAAAATAAAAGTAAAATAAAATAAAATACCTTATATATGTAAAACTTTCAAAACACTTAGCCCTGTCAACACATTGATTGATTTTCTCTGGACCCTGGAATGGGCCCATAAAGTAGGTGCCCTGGTAGCTTCCTTATAATCATGAAATATGACTCTGACCACAAGTGTGGAAAAAAGACACACATACATACACACATAAATGGGACCATCAGTAGGGCAGTGATGTGATTGGAGGGAGACCCTTCATAAACCTGTGAGTCTTGAAGGGCAATACCCTCAGTAGATCAGCTCAGAGAACCCCTCCATAAAGATGGGATCCAGTCTATGGCTCTAGAATCTGTTAGCATTAATCATTACACTTTAATGTCTTTTTCTTAGGGCAGAAAAACAACAAAAAACCTCTTATGCTAAGTTTTTAAAAATCATGTGTGCATGTTTAGTGCAAATAAAGTAAACAAAATTAAAAAATGACTAAATAAAATTGGAAAAAATACAGATAGTTCACAAAAGAATTAAAATGCAAACAAAATTAACAATAAAATTGTGAATTTTTTTGGAGGTCTGTAAAAGAGAAATTTGAACAAAGAAAAATTTGAAACTTTTAAACTGACTAGGATATATGGGTGACAGGCTCCCCATTCCCAGCAGTGCTGTCTGGATGTAAATCCATAAAACTATACTTTGGGGGAAAAGAAATAAAATTTGTTCATCTGTAATCAAAGAGTGCTCCAACAAAATGTTATTATCAACTACCTATTTAAAAAATACTTTGTTATCAGAAAAAGAAGAATTTTGGCTGGAGGCTATTATTAATAAAGTACTTCTCCTCGAATAATATTATTGACAACATTTTTTAAAGTTTTGCCTTGATATCTACAAATACTAGAGGACATTAGCATATAATTCTATCAAATTTCTGCTTCAGGGTAATAAAGGTCTTTCTTTTCTCCCAGCAAATTCATCTTTGTTACCATAAGCACTGTTAAGATAAACAGCAATCTCATCAGGACTCTTCACTCCCATTCCCTTTATCAACCATTGTTTAGGATTAACAAAGCACAAAGACATTCTAACAAAGCAGCTCTGTGGCTGGAATGGCAGAGTTTTTTCCTTTGGCAGAGGTTTCTGACACTGGTTACCCCTTACTCTAAAGTGACTTGCAGAATGCAAATGGATTCCCCCACTATGCAGCCCCACTCTGGGAAACACCTGAGTGAAGACCTGACAAAATCTATAAACCTGCCCATGGCAAGCCGGGGAGGGAAGTATCTCATACATGTGCAAAATAAGCTATGGTTCCCTTCCACAGGGGATGTACTACTGTAAACAATAGGATGTATGTAGGGAAATGCTCTTCCCTTCAGTTGGAATCTTGACTGCATTATTTCTGAGAACTAATTTTTGAGTTATGTACATTTTATCTGATAATTACCTGGACTTCACACTGGTATATGGCAATCTCAAGAGCACTAAACTTAAGATAGTTAGCCCGACTTTTCACCTTTTGGTTAGATTTTAAAGGGCACAATCCAATCCTTCAGAAGACTCCAGAAGAACTGACCTTAGCTCTGTAACTTAGACCTAAGGAGATATTCTGCTGGATGTGAAGTATCAAAATTAACAAAGCACAAAGATAGAAAAAGGGGCTTCACCAAAACACGAGTAAAGATTAATCTGCTTAGGTTTGAAGGGAGACACTTTCTCAGAGCAGGAAAGCTATGGAAAGGAGGTAAAGAAAGTGTCCACCAAGGACACCTCTGGAAAAGCTTAAGGTTCTTTATGTTTTGTTTTGTTTTGTTTTAAATTAGGGCATGATGTAAAACTCACCATTTTGATTCCAGTGCCACTCATGCTTTAGTGATTACCATCCCTCCGTAAAATGCGGCACAGTGAGATTATGAGGGATAATGGAAGATGCAACCTGCTCCACTAACACCCTCCTGTGGAGTCTCTGGAAGGAGTGGGCTGCCCACAGGCAGTAAGAGGAGGTTCTCTTTTCCAAATAGACTAGGGGATGTTGACTCTTGTGTGGCAGACAGCTGGTGCTTGGTTTACATGTATTCCTCATAAGAATTTCTTAATAAAATACTCATATTTGATCTCCATTTTACAAACCAGAAAATGATGAATAGAGAGGTTATATAACTTAGCTAGGAAGTGGTTGAGCAGAGATTACAACCTATGTCTGGGATTCTAGGAACGGTGCTCTTAATGGCTTCAACAAAGCTTCTCAATCCAGTGTGTAAAGGTATTGCTGATAATGGATTATAGATATACAGAACTGTTTTAGGCCCTCCTACCACCAACACCCTCCCATCTCCAACTGTAGAGAGCCTCTTGCCTTCTCCTCAGTATCTTATCTATCAGCATGAGCAATGTTGACAAGTGTCAAATGGGCAAGTCAAGAAGCTCTACACGAAGGGTTCCTCCCATCCATCTCTGGAGGCTCTGGGACATCCAGTCCCTTGTCCCACTCCATCCCAGGAAAAATTTCATGTAACTCTCTGTAGATAGACTGAAAGGAGCCTTACCTTTTCTGTCCCTTAGAATCTCTGGTCCTAGAGAGTCTTGGTCCTGCAGTTGCCCGAAGCCCACCTCGTCGAAACTCTGCCATCCCTGGTGCATCAGTGTTGAAATTTCCTGACTGAGTTCTTCGGATTCTGCATGGAGAGGAATCCATGAAGACTGTCAGGGATGACCTGAGAGTCTAGAGGCAGTGTAACCCCTCCTTTGCAGGTAGGGCCATGCAGTCCAGACTCAGGGCAATGCTGTCTCCTTATGCCTCCCAAGAGATCAAGGATCATGACTTATGACAGTTCCTTCATTGGGCTTGCATCTCAATTCTAAGCCTGGGGTGGGCCACTCCCCTTGGGGGACAAATTAAAGGTTGCTGCCTGGGAGGAGGCTCCAGTGTCTGCCTATTTCATAGACTACGTCACTTGGGCCAGCAAGAACTCAGCTTTCTGTCTTCAAAGATTTTTGCAGTCCCATCAGTTCCTCTCCCAAAACCCATATAGGATAAGCTGAAGTGAATATCATTGGGGGTGTGTGGGATGGATGTCTAGAATGAATGACACGTATAAGGATACTGGCTATATTTAACGGATAACTTTCACATATATCTTCTCTTCTCTGGATCCTGAAAAAATAACTCAAATTCACCCTGAACATGACTGCTCCATTTTAACTGCTGTCCCAGTGTCTAATAGACCAAGTACTTACATAGATTTTTTATCGAGTCAAGAAGAAAATTAATTTCAAGCAATATGATTATAATCCATTACTACCAACTTACTTTCCCCAGAATTTCTTGATTCCCTTGGGGCTCCGTTTACCATCTGGTGTCAGGGGGGACTGGGGGCTTGATTCAGCACCCGATGAGTTGGAAGAGAGTTCGTTGGCCATGGCAGCATTATCCCAACTGCTTTCTGTGTCTCCTGTGGTTGAAAAGATTGAATGATATGTCAATCAGATAGAGGAATGACCTTTAGACCCCTATTCCCTAATCCCAGGCATCTGATTTAGAGTCCAGAAGACCACCCAGCTCTTTAGAGCTTGACACCAGCATCTCAGAGGCCAGTAGAGGCTCAGGAACACTCCAGGCTTTCCAGATAAGGCATCAGTGAGCTCAGTGTTTCAAATCTGAGTGAGCTAATGTCATCAAATTCAAAAGGTTTGGGTCTAAGTTTTTGTGGATTATTCAACAAGGATTGTGTTCTCTTTTCAGAGGGATATGCAGGCATGCAGGCAGGAGGGGACAATGGCCAAGCATTTGGGGTAGTGGTAAAAGGATTGGTAAATGGAAAGCAAAAGCATTCTCACTCTCCATCTCACCTGGTACGGGTACAGTACCTAATACAGGAGCACTGACACTCCGGCCACGATCTCCAGCCAACCAAGAAGCAGAGAAGCCACATGAAGAAACAAGAGAGGCCAAAGTCCAACCCAAAAGAGTTACAGGGAAGCAAAGAAATAAAAAAGAATGTCATCAAGCAAGAGAGAAAAACTCAAAAGAAAAATAATCCCATGAAGAAAGATGAGGTAAGTGTTGACTCAGCCTAGCCTACAGGGTCATTAACTGAAAGAAGGCCTCAAAAGAGGGGCCAAATGCTAGGTGCCACTTCCTGGCAGGCTGAGGTATTTGTCTACATGTGGGGAAAGGGAGGGGGAACAGCAGGGACTAAACAACCTGGGTCACATGAAGCTCTTGCACAGGTGTCAAAGGTCATTCAGTCAGACTAGAATGATCTGAAGCTGCTGTGAGTCCAGTCTGTCACTGGATATACTCATTTAAAGGCTTATCTAGAGCTTCTGTAGCCACAGCAGAACTGGCCTTCATGAGCCAACACAGGCCGACTCAGGCAACAGTTGAGCAGAGGAGTCAGAGGAAGGGGAAAGTCTGTTGGACTAGAATATTCCTTCCTTGGCCCCATGAGATCTGCTGGTGCTACTGGGGAGAAATCACCTATTTTGAATGAAAAGTAGCAAAGACCTCATGGTTTCAGGACTTAACCTTCAACGGGATACCTGTGAGCTGACATCTTTGCCCACTGACCACTGACTTCATTTGCCTAAAAAGTGCATACTATAATCCTGCTGGGAGACTCCAGACAAGGCAAAGAAAGGAGAGAAAGTCCAGGAGGCCAGAGGAAGGAAGGGTGACAGGATATCTAAGAAGATGGGAAAAGAGGAATCATGGGAAGGAAAGGCAGGAATTCAAAAGAGGAGGAACAGAAGAATAGAGGAAAATGGGATGGACTAATTATAACTGGGAAGAATAGAGTATGTATACAGGTTGGGTTTTCTTGGATGCTGGTATTTACCTCCCTTGCCAAGGCAGGGAGCTGTAAAAATGGGATTACTGTGAGGTACAAACTGTACCAGCACCCACTCCCAACATTCTCAATTAAGGGCTGCAATGGCAGGCACAGGTATCTTGTACAATAATTGGAAGTGCCAAAAACATTGCTCCAGCATCTACTAGCTGAAGGGTTGGACACTCACTCAATCTTAGCAGGTTGCTTCCTACAGGGTCAGGCTGGGAGGTGGCAGAAGTAGATTTGGCAGCTTCTCCATTGGGTGTGGCTCCCGAAAGCTTCCCAGGTAATGTAGGATATTTCTGTTCCACCAGGAAAGAGCTGTCCTATTGGAAGGAAAGAGAAAAGGAGAGATACTTAGTTAATCCTGAGACTCAAATCAAACCCAGTTAGGAAATCCTTGGATATCCAAATAACTCTATTCTCCAAGAGTTCACAACAACAAAAACCTCAAAGATCATTTAGCCCAAGCCAGGAAAGAGGACTAGAGTTCTGAGAAAGGGAAAAATCTGCCCACACAGTGAGACAGGACTAGAGTCAAGCCCAATCTAGGGATGACTATAATCACCTGTAAGCAAGAATTGGACATGTCTTATGAAGGAGGCCTTTGCCACTTGGCCTAGTGTTCATAAGCTTAATGAATCAATAGCCATGAATTAGTCTATGAGCTCTTCAAATACAGAAGCCAAAATTCTCTACCTACTAGTTTATCTCATATATAGATATGAGGTATATATCATATATTTATCTCATACACACACATATATATATATGTATGTTATGTATATGTATGTATATGGTACACATACGAATCTCTATTATATATTAATGATTATATAATATATAATTAGTTATAATGACATGTTATATATTATATATTATACTTTATACACACACACACACACACACACATACACACACACACACATATATATAAAAATCTGGTCTGGGTTTCCCTGTTCTCCTGAGACCTGCTTTCCTACAGGCTATAAGGATGTGCTTCTCCAGAGTAGGACCCTTATTCAGAAACAGGTCAGGGCAAATCTCTTCAGGGGTTTAACCAAGTGCATAAATTATGTAGATTCTGGCTTAAAGGCTATGCTATAGAAAGAAGATTAGAATTTAAATTTGAAGCAGTAGAAGAAAAAGTCTGTTTTGTGATAACAGTTCTTTATGAAAGCCTGTTAAGGCAAAGCAAGAAGGTGTGCACACACTTTGGGAGATGACAACAGGAAATGGGGAAGAGGACTATATGCCATCATAGAGTTCCCTTTGGAATTTAGGATTATTGTCTAAGGTACATTGTCTGAGGCATAGTTTTGATGCAATGGACCCTGTGGTTGAACACTGGCCATATAAAAAGTCCCAAAGAAGCAAGTTGAATAAAAGAGGAAGAAGAATAGCACTTATTTGGCTAAGGAGCATATATCGCCCCTAAATCTACAAACTTGGGGAAAACAGTAGAGTGCATTTCAAGAGCAAGAATAAAAGAGAAGAGAAATTTCAGCAACATTGTTGAGGGACCCAAATGTAGATCACTTGATTGGATCCAGAAGAAAAGTCATATGAAAGACAAGATAGATTTTGAAACTGGCAAGTCAGGCCAATAATGGGAGACTAGCATGACTGAGACATCTTTGAAATTTCATTCAGCTATAAGTCAAGTGTTCAATATATTTCTGAGTTCAGTTTGCTTATAAATGCATGTCCTAGAAATTGTATGATTCTGTTCTCCCGTCTCCAAGAAGAATAATCCTGGCTATGGGGAAATGAAAACCCCTGAGAAAGAGCAGCATGGAACCTATTACTGAGCTGCTTTGAATTACCGAAAAGCAGCCTGCCAGAGAGGGGAGAGAGCCCACAGCCTGAGTCAGACTGACTCAGGAAAAGTTCTTTCTCTTTAACCTTTCAGAACCTCTGTTCTGTCATTTCTAAATAGGGAATAACAATTCCTGCCTCTGATCTGCTGTGAAATGATACACATACAGTGGACAACAGATAAACAGAAGTATGCATGCTGAGTCCTAGAGAGACAGCAGTCCAGAAGAACAGACCCTAGATCAAGGAAGGCACAGGTCAAATGACATCTAGAATATCAAGCCTAAGTCTGACCCAAGACAAATTTAAAGAATACATTGAGAAACTAGTGCTTTAAAGGCTGGTGATCCATGTACATGGTAAGAGGATGTTCAGTCCTGAGAACAGAACATAACAGGACTTAATTTTAGAACATCAGGAGTAGGAGTACTGACTCATCCCATAGGAGAGCCAGATCAGGGGATGTGCATTCTGGTGAAGCTCAGCAGACATGTCTCACAGTGAGAGCTTGAAAAGAATATAAGAAGTAAGAAGTATCTTATGATTTAGGGACCTCTCAGTGACAGAAAGAAAGGGCCTGGCACCAAGGGTAGGGGATACTGCAAAAAGATCATTGCACCTGTGGAACAGTCCTGGGGAGGATATGGGGTAGGGTGTGTGTGTGTGTGTGTGTGTGTGTGTGTGTGTGTAAAGAGGTGTTCATGTTGAACTAGTTGAGACCACACAAGATTATAGTTATGGTTAAAATCATAGAAGAATCAATCTTTTAATCTGGAATATGTTCTCTTCATAAACAATCCCCCATCACATATATTTCTTAGTTATTAAGTCAGTGTCTTAAAGCTTGAGCTGGTGAACCAGCTCTGTTTCCAAAAAGTGGGTGATTACTTACACATGTATTTTAGACACATGAATGACCTCTGTGAGGCTGAAGAGGGAAGGGAAACTGCTGGGTGAAAAATACCATAGAGCAGTCTCTACAGGAAGGCTTTCAATTTGCCTAGGGACTATATAAGCCTGGGCTCCAGGCTGAGACAAGAAAGCAGGTAGAAGACTCCTGCTCTATAGTTCAGATGGCTCAAGGAATGGCTACCCAATTGTAGCACTGACTGCTATAAATATAAAAGTGCAGAGAAGCCTATAGAAGTATAAAAAATATCTTCCTCTTACACTGAGTTAAGAGGACAGAGATGGCCCATTCTATCACACTAGTATGAAAAAATAAAATGACCCTCTCAGGTCAAAGTCCATGGGCAACAAGGCCCCATGTCTCATATGAAAGGCAAATGAGGGTCAAGTACAATACATTCTCCCATATGATGTTAAAAATAATGGATGAAATAATGCCATTTATAAAAAACTTCAGTTCATCAAGGGCTCAATATTTGTGCACCAACCTGGAAACATAATCATCTTTCAAAACAGGTTTTCTAGGAGGAAATAAATTCTAATGGAATTTTTAAATGTGATGTGTTCATTAAAGGGAAGCTAAGAGTACTTGTTTGTTTTTGTTTTGTTTTGTTTTGCTGCACTGGGAAACAAACCCAGGGCCTCGACATGCTAGCCAAATGCTCCACCACTGAGCTGCATCCCCAGCCCTACTCTTGTGTTTTTCATCAGCACATAAAGGATGAGAGCTGCCACGCTCTTCTGTGTACTGAGATCACAGCATTCCCTGCCCAGTGATTAAGGCTAGATTGTTGTTAAAGATTAGTTTCTATAAAATCGTTAGTTTTCTCTCTTTCTATAAAGATTAGTTTCTATAAAATAGAGCCTATAAAATGGAGTGTTGATAATAACTCTTATCCACAGATAATATTGGTGAAAGATCATTATACACCTGGGTGCACATAAAAGTAAAATGGGAGGAGGAAGTTCTGTCTTTCTTCTTGTCCTCTTACCCCGATGGTTAACATATCTTAAGACTACAAAAACCATAATTTGTTATAACACTCTGGCAAATAGAGCAAACACAAAAAAGTGATAATAATATGAACTTAATGTACCTTGGGTTCTACTGCCAAAGAAAGCTGCTTCCCATTGACACACTATGGAGTAACAGAAAGAATTTCAATTATATGGAGAAAAGAGATCTTAATAAGTCTAAAAGCATAAATAAGTCAGGACTATCCACTTGCTTATATCTGAAAGGCTCATGCTCCTCCCTGATCTTCATGTCAGGAGATCACCATAACATGCCAACAAATGCAGATCCCTGTCTAACCTTGTCGACAGACACCCGGGCCACTGCCAGCAATCTGATCAGGAAAGTGAGAGGCCTGGTTGATGCCCACGGGAGCAAAGCCACTAGACAAGACCATGGCTCCTGCCAAATCCAGCTTTTCTGGACCTCCATTGTGTCACCTGGGAGGCTGATACTGCTGGAACCAGGGGATAGCATGCAGCATGGGATCACTAGAGGCTCAATCAGAGCAGGTTCCTTGTTCTGTGATGACTAAGCAAAAGAGCCTGTGATCCTCTAGCATAGGTGCCACCCACATGGTCAAAGGCTACTAAGGGGGTCACAAAGCCCTCATTTTCCTAGTTTTTTTTTAAGTTGCTTCTTGAATCTTGTAAACAATCCCAGACCTTACTCTGGGAATCATTTCCTTTATCCATATTATTTAATTCAAAATTGCTGCAATCATCCCAAGGGCCTTGGGAGATAAGGCCAATATTCAAGATCTTCTCTGGCTTGATCTAATACTTGGCTCTGACCTTACTTCCTCCTATTTCCCATCATTCCCCAAATCCTGCCTGTGCCCATCAGACCTGGACTCAGCCTTTGCTCACTGACACCTCTTCTCTTACCCACTCTAGCCCGCGTTTCCCGAGTTGTCTTGTCTCTAGGATGCCTTGGGCTATATCTGACAGATTTTCTCAAATATTCTTGTAATTCTGCCTTACCAGCAAGAGCCTCTCCAAGGTAGGAACCAGGACTCGCCCACATATCCCAGCTCTGTAATAGGCCTAAAGAAGTAACTCAGTAATCTTTATGGATAGATTGATGAGCTGACCTTATCCACAGATTCACTTCTTAAATCTTCTAGACTACAGGAGAGTTTTTTCTGAACCCTGGAAAAACATAAAGTGACAAAAATAGTTATAAGAGAAAGTGAAGGTCGGTATCATTAATACAGAAGGCAATCTAAATGCTTAACCAGTAGTCTCTCTTGGGCTTAGGGTAAATGGCAGAAGGAAGAACCACCTTCTCACAACAGCCAACATATTAGATGAGGCTGTCCCACCTTGGAAGATAGCCTGGTTAAACAACATGTTGGTGAGGGCATGACAGCATCACTTAAGTCCCAATAAAAAGTCCTTCATGTTGCTCAGTTAGAATACACTTAACTCTATTGCATCCATGAGAGGTAACTACTGTGTTATCTGTGTAGCTACCCTGCATTCATAAAGAAGACTAATGTCTGCAGAGTCGAAGTACAAGAAGAATACTTATACTGACTTGTTTGTGAGTCTAAGAGTAATCCAGGTAGGAAGAAGTTGGTTCCTCCTTAGAGTAGAGACAAACACATCAGCCAGCCATTGCTACAAAGCACTTCCTGCTAAGATCCTCCAACACTCTTCTCTGGCCCTCTATATCCCGAGAAGTCTGCTCAGAGGAATACTGTTTTCACAGAGGCTATTTTGCAGATAAGGGTACCAAATAATTAGAAAAGAGGCAATGCCACCAATGATCACAAGGGTAACCATGTGCCAAGTCTTCTTGGCAGTTATATTCCTCAGTTAATAGATATAAGACAAATTTTCTTTATACATTAGTCTCTTGTAAGTCAAGTCAGTGTGAATCTCTTATTGTTATTTCCCCCTGAGTGAACTCATAAACTAAATTTCTTATTTTATAAAACTTAGGACTGGTCAATCACTCTCCGATATTGTTGGTTTGCTCTGGGGCTGGCTGATGCTTCAGATTCTCTATAAGTTGGACTCTGAGAGTAAAGACTGGAATCTGGAGGCTCAGCACCTTTCTAGGGAAACCTCTTATGATTATGTTCTTCCTCAGACACGTTGGCTGAAAGAGCCTTTTCATGGTGGTGAAACCTCCATATCTCCCTCACTGACTAAGCTCAGAAACGGGGATCTACAAGTGGGTTAATTTTGGAGGGAACCAGTCAGGTGGTAGTCAATGACTATAGTGTAGTTTATAAGCATTTTTTCACCAAAGCAATTGGACCAACTTCCCTGTGGGGAGAAATGTTCCTCCCTGTAGTGCCTGGGTGGTCAAAGAACTAGATCACTCCAAGAATGCTAAGGACATGTCAAAAGGGATAATGGAAATGACAGACACACATCATGGGGCACACTCAGCTCCAAGGAGCCACTGGAGGGCATGGGTGAGTTGTAGTAGTCACTTCTCCACTGAGACCCCAACTCCTGGCCAGCTCTTTTCTCAGTGGCAGTGATCTAGACTCTCAGCCGTGGGAAGGGAAGCCCTTCTGTGACCAGAAGAGGCAGGCCTGGTTGGTGCCCCCTGTCAACTGAAGGATGCATGTGCTCAGAATGGTGGTTGTGCTCACCACACATGGTCAGTTACCCTCCACTTGAGGATTGCAAGATGGGCTGAGAGCAGAGCTCCAGAGAGAGGGTCAAGCTCCTACCTGCTTTCCAGTGATTTCTGTGGCAAAGGAGGTGGCCCCACTGTGGGAGAGCTGCATCTTGGAGGCATCTGTATCAAAATAGGGTTACCATAGAACAGAGTTACTATTTGAGAACATCCTTTCTTCCTATTTGATACCTTTGGGGAGTGACATTTCCACCACTGGGTATAGCCACGGTGAAAACATCAAGATGGATGCCTTGCTCCTTCAAAATACCATGAAGGCAGATATCTCAATCCATCCTGGTTGATGCCTTTCCACTCTAAACCCCAGCTCTTAGATAAAATTCACATCCTTGCAGTAGAGTCCAGAGACCTGAGTCCCTGGGCTTTTGCTACTCCAGTCCTTTCTGAGATTGACTCTTCAGCTTTTCTTTTCATTTAGTAAGTCATTACACATGCTTTCAAAAACATTCCCTTTCAGCTTAGGTTAGCCAGAGTCAAATTCTGTTACCCCTGTGAGAGAACCCTAATGATATAGTTACTCCACAAACACTGGCCCAATGCTAGGTATGAGGTAAGCACATTACACATCTGACAGGCAAATAAGCAAGCAAGGATAAAAACAATGCCACCCATCCTAGGGCACTGAGGCTGACAACATAAAAAAGGGAACAAAGGACAGGGAGAAGCTCCCTCTAGCTGGTGGGAATGTTAAGAGAGCTTCAGAAGGGAGAACACTTGAGGCAAATCTTGAGATGTGAGAATGAGTTCATAAAGAAGGGAAGAAAGAAAAGAGGACCTCAGGGGGAGCAATGTAAACTAATGAGGGTATAAGAACACAGTCCTATGTCTTCAGTATGGTGCTAACCACAAAGACCACCTCTTCCCTATAGGAAGAACCCTTATATTATAGCATAGTTGTTAAGAGCTTGAGTTTTGTGGTCAGACAGACCTGAGCTCAAATAAAGATTCTGCCATCTACTTGCAGTATGCCCTAAAGTGTATTATTTACCTCTCTAATCCACAATTTTATCACAATAAAATAAGAATACTAATGGGGTGTCATGAGGAGTAAATTACGTAAGAACTATACAGTGACCACACAGAGGTAATAGACAAGGCTTGTTATAGCTATTTTGTAATTGCCAGCAATGTGGGGGTACTTCCTTGACTCAATAACAGGGTTATTGGATCACAATTTGATCTTTCCTTAATTAAAAGATTGATCTGGACTGCTAAATTCTTTTTCAGTTTGACCATTCTGAAATTTAATGAAACATTTTGCCCTTAAGCTGAAAGCCCTTCTTCACCTGAGGTGGGTATGCCTGAGTTTATTTGTTCATTTGTATTTAGAATAAATTCTGGGGGATTCATACAACAAAAACAATTTCAAACCAAAGAGAAGAAAAATCTGTATGCTCATTATAGGCACTGAAAGGGCTGTCTGTGAAGCAGGAATGTATCACTTCAGAAGTTGAAGTTCTTTCTCTAAATGAGCAAGGTAAACTATTCATTTGTTGAATTTTACTGGGTATCAGACATTATCGCAGATCCTGAAGAAACAGTAGTAAATAAGGTCTATGCTTACTTCTACAGAGGAAAGACAAGGCATCCAATTAAAAAGAAAAATTCCCCCATCCTTGAAATTCCAGCACCCACTATGCTGTCCCCAGTGAGAATACTAGGCCTGAGCCGTGGACCTTTCTTTCCTCCACTCTCTCTCTAAGGCCTAAGACCTATTCCATTGATTTAGTTACCAGACATTGGAAAGGTACCTGACTAGATCCTCCTTCAAGCTAAGGGCAAGCTCCAAGGGCTGCTAAAACCCCATATCATGAATGGAAACATGGTACCTCTTGTTTAAATTCTTCAGTGCCTTTATTTACAGTGTTCCATTTTTTAAAACTTCCCTCCAGTTCTTCTTCATTGATGGAGAGAGTTCTCTCTGAAGGCCCTGGAAGCATGAAGGCTAGAAGTATTATGGTGGACCACTGGTATATGAACTGTTCAGAAGCTTATAATTGTACCACAAAACCCTAATATCGTTTTGCCTTTGTTAAGAAAGAATAATAAAACAAAAGGGACATTAAGAGTGTTATTTGGAAGATTCTTCATAGCATCTGAGCAAAGGCTATCATGAGGGTCATTTCAAGGTCAAAGTTCACTCCTAGAACAGAGTTTTGTAAAACACCCTTCTCCAGCTTTCTTATTTTTTTTCTTTTTTGCCTGGGAACAATCAGGTCCTGACAGAGGCTTGGACTAAGATCCCAAAGGATTAGAGAAAAGAAATCTATAACATTTGTGGGGGGACTGGAAGATGTCCTCAGCAGTGACTTGTTAGCCACAATCCTGGCAGAAGCATGGCTTCTTCTCAAGAAGAGACAGAAGCAGAGATTCTTGAATTCCTTTCTTGTGAAACTGCTGCTTTTTCAGGATCTGTGATGGGGGCTGAGGTCAATGGCATGAGTGACAGACCAGGCAGGCAGCCTAGCATATGCTACACTGTGCCTATAAGAACACAAATGTGTTTGTACATCACAGCAGTATTGGTGGCAAATATGAAACAACAGCTCTCCCTGTCCAGTAATTTCTTGTGAAAACCAGGCACCTGGTGATGAATGGAAGACTCCCAGGTGTCCTTGGAGGAGCTCTAGGTTCTCTAAGAGGAAGACAAGCTCTACTCTCCAATGGGAACACTTATTTCTGATCCAGGTTTGTTTCCATTCTAAAGGGTACACTGACACGTGTAGAACATCCTCTAAGGGTGGAAATTCCCAGGTAAAAAAGTTGAAGATTTTATTTTCTTGATGATTTGCACAGTCCCTGGAAGTTATGAGCTGACTATCATTTGATAACATTTTTGGAATCAACAGATTCCACTTTTCCACTATCAAGGAGAGTCCAAAAAGCTTCATTCTCCAGGAGATTTTCTCCAATTGGAGGTAAAGAATCATCTGGCAGAATTACCCCTGGATTTGACATAGCAGATAAAATACAGTTCAGGAAAATGGAAGACTTGCTCTTGTTCTTACCTTGAGTTGCCATCACAATCTCCTTCACCCTTCGGTACTGGTTCAAGAGCCCTGTGAGCTCCTCTATCCGACGGTCCTGCCATCATGCAAGGAATTTAGATTAGCACCACTACTGGATTTCATTTTGGGACCCAGAAATATTCTGAGCACATCAAGAAGAAAACCCACATGGAACTTTTGGAGCATCCCAAAGGGAAAGAGTCAAGGTCCATCCTATGGAGCAGGGTCCCAGAGGTCTGATACTCATGACTCTACCTGAAGGTTGTGAGCCAACAATCACTGACATATCCTTCAAGGGTCTTAAACATTTCAGAAGCAAGAAACTCTCTGCCCCCTACCTCCCTGAAGTAGCCACCAACAAAGTCTGCCTCCTGCTCCAGTATTACCCTCTGAAGTTGCACAGAAAAAAAGACTAAAAAAAAAAAAAAAGCTGTCATATTTAACCTGATATACTCACCTCTTCCTTAGGTGTCAGAGATACTCATATACAGAAGAAATTTCCAGAGGGTATAGGTTCTTTCAAGCAAGGGTCTACCAACTTGGGAGACCACAAAGATCTTGGAGTCAGACACCATTGGGTATGAACCCTGGCTCTGCTCTCCACTAGTTACCTGACCCTGGGGAAAGGATCCTTAGAGATGATGTTTACATTAGCTAGGTGCTTTTTATTTATAGGTGTGTTTATTTATGATTATGCAAGAATGAGGTGTGAAGAATATAAGGTGGCAGGGTAAACCAAGGCATTGCATGCTGCCCAGTGTCTTTATGATACTTGTATAAAAAAAGATTGTATACACGAATAGTGGTGGATTGTTTCTGAGTTTTGCTAGGAATCAAAGAAGGAGCTATTACATTGGCATTAACCATAGTAGTATTTTCCCCCCACACTAGCATAAATAGGCAGGGCTTTAATTTGCCTTTGAAAGACTCCATTTAGGCAAAGTTCCCAGGCATCCAAAACAGGTGCTGAAACTGAGTCTCTAGGAGGCAGAAGCTATCTTCCTGGCATCTGCCTGTTGAGGGCCCAACGGACACAGCTCTGTCTAGTACCAGAGAGCAACAGGAACAAACAGAGCTAGAGGTGTTATCAGGGAAAGGACAATGGCTATCTTACCTTATCTTCATTGGCAACAAGCAGTGTTTCCATCCCCATCTTCAGACGTTGAATTTCTTGATCTAAAAGAATTTAGGCAAAGAAAGGATTATTTGTATAAATACAAACAGCTATCAACATATGTTAAGATGCCACTCAAGTTCAAACTTGTTATGTGAACTTGGATTGTTTCTTTAAAGAGCCTGGGATGGTATCTGGTACAGTTAGTGTCATAAAATATTTGTTTGACTATTAAGTGAATGAACCTGGTATTTTGTCTTCTCTTTGTAGACATTCACGGGAAAAATAAAAATGCCATTTATGCAAAAGTGACACAGAAGAACCAAAAATCTTTTACAATCAACCTCTCCCAGGAAGGCAGATATTCTTATTCTCATAGGCATATGTCTAGGCTGCTGGCTTGTTTTTCTTTTTCTTATTTTAAGAAACAGACTATAAGTAGAGGAGAATTTAAAATAAGAAAAATTAAAATCTACATCTAAATGGACACTGAGAAAAATGATTATGTAAGAGTTTGGGGTAGTCAACTTAATTTCAAATAGTATAATCAGAATTTTAAAATGTTCAGATACATAAATAAATATATTAAACAAGCTCTACCATTAAGGGAAAATAATCTTGTTTCATTATAAACCTACAGAATTTCCCTGTGGGCTGAGGGCTCTGTGTTGGTCTGTGATAGAAAACCCATATTTTTTTCTCACTTTAGACCCATGAGGGACTCACTTGAATTCTTCCCAAACTTGTCTGAAGAACCAGGTCAAAGGCTAATGTCTAAAGAAGCTGGAGGTCATTTGCCAGATACTTAGAAGTCTAGGGATTGATGTATAACTGGATTTTTCTGAACAAGAACCTATACCTCTTCCTAAAGTGGATACTGCAAAGGGATTAGGGATGTCTGTATAAGACAAGACAAGGGAACAGAAGTATAGGCATCCATCCTATTTCCTTTGGGATGCTTGTTATATTCAATGAGAGTAGCAACAGTAGATGTATGGACTTTGTGTGAATAGTTGTGGAGCTCATTTTCAGGGTGAAGTAGAATGTGTTTGCTCATTATCTTAGGCTGGCAGCTGACATCAACTCTGTAGCTTAATTTGCCAGGAGGTGGGGATAGGAGGTAAATTACAGATAAAGATTGTCAAACTTGGATTTGTAGCCATAACCCAACCTGAGCAGCAAACAACTAAAGGACCATCTCTAGGAGGTACCTGATAATTGACTGGGGCAGGTCATGGAAAGCCTGGACTGCAGGGAAGCATGGGGTAGAGAGGGAAGGCTGCCTGCCTGTCCTAGAAGTCATGGCCAGGAACTCTCTGCCAAGGTTTGGCATAGTTCACGACTTCTCAGTCTCCACAGGTAGGCCTTGGCAGGTACATGACACCCAACTGGAGGATACCAATGAAAAGCTAGAGCAGGAATGAACATATTGGTCACTAATTTATTTTTTAAGTCTAAACCACTGATGCATGGTTGCATGGCTTCCACATCAGTTGGAGATTCAAGTTAAGCAGTTCTGAGGCCAAGATGAGACTCTACAATGGCACCAATACATAGGACAATATGATCTCCAACAGCATTGCTCTACAGCCTGGAGGCAACTGGAGAAGCTGGAAGGTGTGTAATCATTCTGTATACATTGCAAATAACCATAAAGATAAAATGCATTAATTGGAGTATTTGAAGATTTATCCTCTATTTTTAATCAGTAAGATTTAAACTCCTCAAGGACCATTCACCATCCTTATTCAATTACTTTACTTTGGAGGTTACCATGAGCTGAATACAGTGCTGGGCTCTATAGATATATTCCTAAACAAGAAAGATACCATCCTTGTCATGTCAGAGTGAAGATCATCACAAGATCTCCTCAAATACAACACTGATAAGTTATAATAAGTACTGTGAAGTAAACATGAAGAATTCTCAGAGAATAAAAGGAGTAGGGGCATCATCTTGTAGTTGGGAAGTCAGGAAAGGTCTTTCTGAGAAATGACATTTGAGATGTAAAGGATAAGAATAAATTGATTTGCTTCTGTAACCTTAGGGCCTTGTACAGCTGTCAGGTGGGATGAATTTATAAGCCTCCTCTTTGGGGATAACACAGAAACAAGGCCTTTTAATCAAAGGAAGAGTCAGGTATTTGCTACATTCTCAGTAAAAGCTTCAGAGGGCTGCACAGAGCTTCAATGAATGCTGTGAACCTGAGAAAAACATTCAGAGCTGAGTGTTCTGGATACAGGAAGAGTCCGTGACATGATTCTACAACAGAGTTGTGCTTTACAGGCTCCCACACATGCACACATATATGCATCCACTCACTTGGGCATGCTCAGACACATACATGCATGAAAGTGCACAATGGCATAACTACATACACAAGCATATGCACACTCATTCATAGATACACATGCCCATTTATAAGAGTGGGCCCAGAACAACTGCATTCTGTCATAGTCAATCCAGTCACCTCTCTCTGCATGGTCACTGTGAAGAGCTGTGGTCCGGGAGAGCTGGCTATGCAGACGCTCAATTTCTGCATCTTTCAGAGCCACTTGCTCTTGTAGCTGGGCCACCTCGGCCTGGAAAAACAATAGAGAATTCCCAGCAAGTCAGAACAACTTCCAAACTATGATGAAGTGTCTCATGTTTGATCCCAGAGCCCAGTGGGCCCTAGGACATGAGTGAGGGAAAGAGGCAACAGAAGTAGGAGGGCTCTCTGCCCTCCCCACAGTGTGGAACTCTGCCAAAGAAACTCACTCTTTCTGGTCATCAACCTGTTTTTTTTCCTGCATCCTCCTAGTTGACCAGGCTCTTTTTCTCCTCTGCTCACTGAGGCCAAGGTACCCCTGAGACCACAGGAGCTGTAATTGTGTAAATGTGAGGGTGTAGTCCTTGATTCAGACTTGTACATTCTCATTTTAGATGTGATCTTCCTTATCCCAAGATACTCAAGCGACAGCACTTAGATATGCTGCTGTAACGAGTGCATGCAGCTTCATCTCCCTACTCCCGGTACAGGAAATACAGTAGAAATCAAAATACCACTGGTGGGTAAAGCGTGAGCCAAAGGCTCCCTCCCTGGATGTTCTCACACTTTTGGGCACAGTTAATGCCTCTGCCCAGCCTGTAGGCACATCTGCATACTTGCCCAAATATACATACATACAAGCATTTGGGTGTGTTTGGCATAAATGTTTGCAAAAAACAAAAGCAATATATGCATTCACATATGTACACACATGGGCAGCTGCATTGGATGGTTCCCAAGTACTAAGTTTAGTAGGTTAAATTTCACATACTAGATGTGTTTGTCCATACTTTCCCATACTCATTAAAAGAATAAAATTGTTTGTCCCATCACAAGAGGCACCTTCACTTTGGAGTCGAACAAATTTGGATTCTCGCATGTCCTAGTTGGATGACATATGACAAGTAATTCAATCTTTCTGAGCCTCAGTTCATCTATAAAATGGGGGAAATAGCACATACCTCTTGGGACTCTAGTGAGGATTAACTAATATAATGGTTATGAGCAACTCAGTCTAATACTAAGTGCATGTTAAGTTTTCAAAAAATGCTACCAATGTTGTTCCTCTTATCCTATTCTTTCCATTATGGATAATCAGCTCATTTCTGTGAGCAACAAAACAAATTTAAAAAGGAGTCAGAACTGACTCTTGAACAATGGAACACACAGAAAAGACTGACCCATGAGACTTAGACTTCCCACGAGCACCCTAATCATGTCCCAACTCTGATCCTAAAGGCATAATACTGACTGTCCTTTCCCACAGTCACAAGTTAATCTTTGAACTTCCCAAAGTAACCACATGAGCACCAGTCTTTTTGGTGGCTCCTCTGCCCAAAGGCCTTGTGTCCAGTTTCAGCATGCACCTTGCATCAGCCCCTGCTACTTTCTTACATCAATATACCCACAATATTCACCCTCCCATTTCCTGGGGAGAAACACAGAACAGTACAGGATTCAGTGTAGAAAACAAAGAGTGACTCAGTGAACAGGCCAGGATGCAACCCTCAGATACCTGCTTCTTAGTTAATAGAGTAGATGATGGTCACCATTCTGAGGCTTGGGGTCTGTGAGCCCACCTTGAGGGTTTCTGAATAAACCTTCCTTCACATGCCCCAAATGGGACAGTATGACCACATAGAGGACGAAGAGACCATGATGGGTACGGTTTTCTTTTTGCAAAATTCACTATGGAGCTTTGTCCTCTGTTCTGATCTTTTTCCACAGAGGCAGAGAGCCAAGTATGGCTATGTCAAGCTGATTGCTGATTTGCACAGCCATGAAGCAGGTTTTCTTGGCTCACTCAGGGCCTAGTGCTCAGGGGGTTATAGATAATGGTGACAGTGGCTTCTGCTTGCCCTTAAGACTCTCAACCCAAATGCCTCTCATTTCTATAAGGACCAGCCTATTCTTGGAAGATAATCTCTTACCCTTTCTTGGACATATTCTTTCTCATTTCTCCCTTCCTTTGTGAACAGAGTAGGTGTTGATCTCTATTAGGAATCTGAATCCCTTATGCTTACCTGCTAGGCCCACAGTTTGACTTCAGTGGTGCAGGTCTATTGAGACAGACCCCAGATCCTGGCACTCTGAGATCTCTCTCCTGAGGCCTGCCTCTGGGTGAGTACACTTATATATATATACTGTGAACCCTACAGACATAGCCAAACCTCCCTTGTGCCAGACCACAGAATGGGGCAGAAATCACAGGCACTCTGTTACCCTTAGAATGGTACCTGTCCCCACAGGACCCCAGCCAACAATAGCCCAGAAGCTCTCTCCCTGACCATTAGGGCAAAGTATGCGGCCTCACTACAGAAGTAAGAACTGTGTAGCAAGAGGCCTGAGATAGCCAGGCAGACGAGCAGGCAGGCAGAGATGGGTGCTCTGGGTACCTGCAAGTGCCAGGCCTCACTAAACCCAGGGGTCATATTCTACTTTAAAGGCAGTCCCTAAGAGAACTAAAGTGATCTACCTTTAGAAACTGAGAAAGTTTAACAGAAAACTGAAGAACTTCCAAAACCAGTGCAGGATTTCACTGTGGGGATTCAGGTTGATGCAGGAAAAGACAGCAGTAATCTCGCCTTGGCCAAACTAAGCTACTCTTTCCTTACCAGCCAAATCAGAATAACAAAATATACCCCATTGGGTTATTTTTTTGAATTAATGAAAAAAAGTCTGAAAAGGGATCAGTACACTCCAGCACACAGTTGGAACTCCATACCTGGCAATTATTAAAAAGCCTAGAGCATCTCACAGGTCTATGAGCCAAGGCAAAGAGCTTGGGTAATTTAAGAAGAAAAGAGCCACTTGGTTTACAACAAGGTGGTATGCACAACTTCAAAGGTTTCACCAAGACAGGACTTGCTTGAGTGGAGCATTGTGATAGAAGGTTTTGGGCTACTGGACAAACACAATGCTCTTAGAATTGGTGACTGTGAAACAGCATATCCAAGGCCACCATCAGACATCAACAGACAGGTGGGCAGATGGACCCCATCATCCAGGTTGGTCCTGACTAGCTATAAGATCTTGAAAGAGTCAGGCACAGTGACATATGCCTGTAATCCCACAGTTTAGGAGGCTAAAGCAGGAGGATCATGAGTTCAAAGCCAGCCTCAGCAAAAGCAATCTGTCAACTCAGTGAGACCCTGTCTCTAAATAAAATACAAAATAGGGCTGGGGATGTGGCTCAGTGGTTGATGCCCTTGAGTTCAATCCCCAGTTACTGCCCACCCCCCCCCAAAAAAAAAAATTCTGGGAGACTTACTTACCTCTCTCTGCCTCCTTTTTATCATCTATGAAATGGTTAAGCAAGTTATTTTACATTTATATGTTAGAATATTAGGGAAATATTAACATCATGTTCAGTATTTTCTTTCACTATATGGGAAATTGCAAAATTTTAAATTAAAAAAAGGTAAAAAATTGTTTATAAATTATCAACATCAGAAACAGAGAAAAAGGAAAAAAAACAGAGAGGAAAGACACAAAAAGAAAGAAAAAACTATCTGGAAGGAAATATTAACAGGGTACCTCCTAGGACGGCTGAGTATTTTTTATTTCTTTATCTTTTGGTATTGAGGGTTAAACCCAGGAGCGCTTAACCACTGAGTACATTCCCAGAACTTTCTTATATTTTTATTCTGAGACAGGGTCTTTCTTGCCCACGTCCCGCATAGGTAGTGGGAATGGGGTTCCCCTCGGTGGAATGGACTGGCTGAGAAATAAAAGCTAAGAGAAATAAAACTGAAAAAAAAAAAAACACAGAACACAGAAAGTCGTTTCAAAAGCAGGGACAGGACAGGCAAGCTGATCAGACTTCTAGACAAAATGAGGCCCATGCCTGCTTTATTTATATTGGGAAACATCAAAGAGATTCTACAGAATGTTCTTTTCCAAAAAAGATTAAAGGTGGGCTGTTCAGTTCCTAATGGGTTATAGCCATCTCTGGAGCTACTATAAGAAATCTTCCTAGCAGAGCAGAGGGAAAGGTCACGTGCATTGGGCAATCTGTGGCTGTGGGAGAGCCATGGAAAGTTCCCAATCCCAGGCCTCTCTCTCCCTGGCTTCCATACTGAAAGAAGATCCATGTATTTCACAAATGGCTTCTTTCAGGTCTCATGACATTGCTTAGGGCCTCACTAAGTTGCTGAGGCAGGCTTTGAACTTACGATCCTCTTGCCTCAGCCTCCCAAGTCGCTGTGATTACAGGAGTGTGCCACAATGCCCGGCCAATTCCTTTAATTTTTTTTATGGTGTGAAAACTCTTTGTGAAAGTATCATTAGCAATTAACTTGTAGAAAAATAAAAATAAAACTATAGTTTAATAAAACTCTAAGAAATACTTTTAAAACTCTAATAAGTGAAAATTAAAATGCCTACGGGGACCATCCAGTAACAACTGTGGGTGGCACTACAGGAACCCTAGGGAAAGGCAGGTGTGTCATCTAGCCAAGGGGAAAGGCTGCCAGGCTCCCCCCAGCAGGAATGTTTTCCAGGGTTGTGAAGAGCTTCCTCTACCTCCTCAAAAAAAACCTATACCTAGGTTTTTTAGTTATATAGGTTTTTCAGTAAAAACCTATTAGGTTTTTACTGAAACCTAATATTTGCACATCTTTATAGGGTATAGCCTGGTAAGTATGATACTTTGATATGTATATAGAATGTGTAATAATCAAATCATGGTATAAGAAATTTCATCTCAAATGTTAATCATTTTTGTGTTGGAAACTTTTGCATTCTTCTAATTTTTTGAAATATATTATAGATTGCTGTACATTAAATTCCTTTAAGAACTAAAAACAGCCCAACTGTATTTTAATGTGAAATTTCATAATTAAATGAAATTAGTTTGGCATTTTAAAATATGTAGGCAAAAAAAATTGTGGGCTAAATTCAACTAGTTTTAATCTCCACACTGCAAACAGAAGAAATAAAAGAAGAGAATATATTTATTTCACAACAGAATTTATTCATGGTGTCCTTTACATAGCAACCTCTCCAAGTTTAATAGAAATGTGATTTGATGGAAAAAAAACTCAAAGTTTATATCATTTTAGGAATAGATTCATTCCTAAATATAATGCATGTGACTTTTTGAAAAATTAATTATAAAAGGGGACTGCTAAGTTTAAAACAATGCACACAATATAACATTGATGCTCATGTGCTTTATGACTAACCACTCTCTGTCTGTCCCTCACTTGCCAGCTCACTGGCTCACTCAGTTTCTCACTCCCTTCTGGCCCCTTCTCAGTGAATGTCAGCTATGTACTAAGAGGAAGTAAACTCATTACTATATTTCAGCAGCTCATCATCTCCCAGGCTCTCCATGAGGAGCCACCCTGGATCCAATCCATCTGCTGCACAAGCTAGAGGGGTTGATTTGCATTTTCAAACTTAGGTTGCTGGAAACCCTGAGGTTTTGAGATACTGGGGATTGAATCCAGGGCCTCAGGCATGTTAGGCAAGTACTCAACCCAGCCGGAAACCCTGGGTTTGGACTATAATCCTCCCTACAGAACCCCTCCCTGTGAGCATCGCATCTGCCTTTTACCTTAGTGGCCTTCAGCTTCCATTCATATTGATTCCGTTCATTTTCCAGCTCTTCCACTTTGATTTTGAGATGCTTGAGCTCTTGTAGTAATTCCTAGAAGGAAGGGGGAGAAAGACAAAGTTCTAATGTTTAAAGGGCAGGCTCTGGGTCTCCAAACCTGGTTAAGCTCATGCAAAGACAATGCCAGGGGCAGCAGTAACCACATCAAGCTCTACACTGCAGCTTCCATTTTTAAACACAGTTTGTGTTTCAGGCAAAGCTTTGTGGCTGTGTTAAAAACAAAGGCCACAGAGTTCCAGGTATAAGAAAACTGTTGTTTTATTTTTAGAACTTGCTCTGCCTGCCCTTTTCTCTGATATTTATGTCCTATGTGGGTATACCCAATTCATGCTCAGGTGTGTAGGGAACCTGGAAAGTAAGACTCAAGCATGAGAGGACCAGAGATGCCGAACAAAAGTGGGTTTTTTTTCCCCCTCACAATTTAGGCAAAGGAGCAGGAAGCAGGTTACTTGGGAGCATCTCTCTGTGCTGAAGTTGGAGGAACAGCAGGTAGGGCAGGGTAGAGGTCAGTGACCCTTGAAGGTTTCACAGAGGAAGTGAAAGCAGGATAGAAATGACACACCAAGAGAACAAATGCTAAGTGTCAAATGTAGACACCCAGTATGGAGTTTTAATTCAAAGTAGGAGGTTAGTATGAAAAAAGAAGAGAGCAAAAAGATACATGGGGGTTAGGAGAAAGGTAGAAGACAGAAAGGGAGATAACCTATTATTGTGTTGGGCTGGATGGGTGTCAGCACACAGTGGGAGCTGAGGCTGGGAAGTTAAGATGGGGCTTTATTATAAAGGCTTTCAGATGAGACTATAAGGAATTCTGATGCCATCCTTTGAATGGTAGAGAGCCACTGACAGTGGCTGAGTGGAGAAAGGATATTTAAACAACCTGCCTGTGTTCATATAGTTAGCAAGTGGTAGAGCTGGAATTCAAGCCCCCATATCTTCTGACGTTAGGGCCCTTGCTTTTTAAATTACTCCAATAAGAAGATATCACTAAGCTTTGTGGTCATGAACCAAGATTCCCTATCAGATGAACTGGCATAAAAATAATTATCTCCATAGGCTTTCTGAATTCCAAACTCACATCACAAGCTTCCTACTTAACATTTCCATGCAGATATTACACAGGCATCTCAGAACTGTCATGTTCCAAGTGGAATTCTTAATTCCCCATCTTAGTCATTTGTCTCATCCATCTATTTGCCTGAGTAATTGGTATCTCTTTCTCCCTCTTCCCTTACATATGTAATTTATTTCCAGGCCTTTATCAGTTTCACCTCCAAGAGAATAACCGGAATATTTCATTTCTCTCCTATAGCAATGAATGTTGGTAGCCTGACAGTCTCTTCATTGATTGCTCCTTTGTTGCAATCAATGACTTCTACAGCATCCAGGGGAACAATATGATTAAAACACAAATCTGTTCACCATATTCCCTTGCTTCTCAAAGTTCATAAACTAATGCAGTCAACCTAGCCTGCCCCCTTCCTGATCTCTTTCTCCATGTGATTGTTAATAGCTAGTTCTCCTATACTTTAAATCTACTAAGTGTTTGCCAGCAGATTCTGGTACATAGTAGGTATGCATTATTTATCAATGAATGGACACCTGAGTTCTTTACATCCTGAAACACTCTGCTGCAAAGTGACATTGCTTACATTTAAATTTTGTAGGGGAACTTGTTAAGATTGTCTTATAGCTGAGGTGAACATTGGTAACACCTGTTTAAAAAGAAAAAATGTCTTATAAACTCAAGTTATTGTGTCCATGATCCACATTGTTAGACTTCAAGGTCTCAGTCGCCTGTTTCAACTTTCAGCAACTAGGAACATTATTGGTCCTGCCTGTGGTGCTCCAATCCCTCCAATCCCTACAATGGGGGTTCTTCTATTGTTCCTGAGAGGGCATGACAGATGGCACAATAGGAAAAGTAGAGGATACCACTATGGGGACGCAGAGGTTATGCTCTCCACGCTCTTGTGACTTCTTTGGCATATGGCCCCAGGCATGACCTCCAGGTCATGAAATCACTCTAATGTGATTATGTGGGGCATTTTTTTTTCCTGGAAATTCAGATGATGATTTAATTGTTATCAGCAAATGAAAATTTGGGTTCTATTTTCCCACTAGGGCTAAACCTCTTTAAACATAATTTGATTCTTTTTTATAATACTGTGTTTTTACTTTAAAAAAGGAGAATCATGTGAAATGCAGTTCCATTTAATCTTCCAGTACAGGAGGAAAAATGTGACTGAATCTTGGGGAGGAGACTCCCAAGATTACCTTTTGCATAGATACCCCATTACTCAGAGAATCTGACACACCTCATTCCTGTTGGAGGGCTGACTCACTTGCTCAGACCATGCTTAGTAAGGTTCTCAGAGCTCACCTCACATCACAAGAGGACTGAACAGTCCAATCTCTGATCCACGGTAATACCAGATCCATGCTAAGCCACTGCACTCTGTGCTGGTTAGAAGAGAAACCCCAGCCCTCCAGCAATGAAATGCCCCACACACGCATGCTCTGATATACTTAAGTATGGTTCCTACAGGTGAACCCTCCCAAGGGGCACAGTTCCGGCAGCAGGGCTGGGGCTCAGCCATACAGCTGCTGGCCGCCACCTCCTCAGAGTGGTCCCTACTGAGTAAGAGGCGCTCTTGGATCTGCCTGTGGATGTCCATCTGCAGCCTACACATCTGCTCCTGCAGCTCACTGATCACATTCAGAACTGACTGTGGGAAGGAAGAGAAAGAAGAGAAAAGCACTCAAGGTCAGTGAACAGAGGCAAAACTCCTGTGGAGAGCAACATGGAAGGAAGTATACAGAGGGTAAGCAGCAGGTGTCCCCAATAGTCATTGTCCATGGTAGACCATTCTCTTCTCAGGAACCAAAAGACGTGGCATTTTTCCTGAGACTTGCTGTATCTATAGCCTTTCTTCCAGTTTGAGCAAATCCCTGACACCTCCTTTGTGCTATGTTAAATGGCCATCCTTCCATGTCAATATCTGAGATGAACAGTCTTTGAGATTGCTTCACCCAAGCAGAAGCAACAGAAAAGACAGGCACATAATAGGGGCACACAGAAAGACATCTCCCTTCCACACACGTGTCCATGCTACACATTCTAATTCCCCCATGCACACACCCAAACGTGTCAACAGCCATGTAAAGTGACCTACACATTACACATGATGCATACATGATAATGTGTCCCCAACCCTATGCTCATTCAGATGTCAATAGACCTATTTTAGCACCCAGTCTATATTTCTTTGCCTTGTCCAAAAGACCATCCCAAGCAAGGTTTTGCAATGCCCCACTGAAGTGTGGACCTTCCTGGTCTACCACTATAAGACACACTCCCAGCCACACCAATGAGGTCGAATTTGAAGTGATTCACTTGTAGTGGACACAGATTCCTACTTTTTCTTATAGTTTCCCATAAATCATCAGAGGGCTGACTCCAAACCCAATAAAGCAAGTTTTACAGAACCCATCTAACTTTTTATTTTCACTATTTTAAAAATCAAGAAGGGTTCACTTTTAGTTTCCCAGCAACTCACTTGATTTTCCTTTACTCCTTCAAAAGTCACTTGCAAAAAACAGCTTTGGGACTGCTGTCCTAAGTTCTTTGCACCTGTCAGAGGCATTAGAAGGATCAAGCCTATTCTTCCTTTGATCTTATTAAAAATAAAAACATACCTTTTAAAAAGGCTTTCTATTGTCCTCAGCAGCACTATTCTTTGTTGGGAGTTTGCCCTTCCTGATACTGGTCATGCAGGTGCACTTTTATTTGTCTAGTAAATTTCCTTTCTATCTTTTGTATAGGTCCCTTTAAAATCTAGTTTCTCTCAAGGTATTGTTAAGTCCTTCCTTTTTATTGACACTATCTGTGAGGTGGCACAGTGAGAACTATATTATTTTTTTCAGCAGCTCAATATCATTGAATCATCTTCTCTTCTAGAGTTCCCCAGATTCTTTATTTCTAAACTTTCAAAGTGCATGTCTGTCTGTGCCTAGTTTTCCCCTTGCTCAATTACATGAACTTTCAAATAAAAATGACCACTCACTCTTAACACAATTTTCCTTTATAAAGTACTTTCTCCCTTTGCTTCAAATTTGTAGCTAGAAGGGCAGCTTTCCCAGTTTTATATTCTTCCTTTTTAGGTAGATCCTAGTAAATGAAAAATCTTTCAAATACTTCAGTATTCAACTGAAGACTTTTTAGGAATTATTCAAATAATTGTTTCCCCTTTCCCTCCATTACTGCCCCTTGTCTGTATCTGATCAGTTTGGGGATGTATAACAGAAATGTATCCATTTTTCTTCCTCTGCTTTGTGTGACCATGTGATACACCCAACACTGCCAAGCCATTACCCTTAGTTCTCCCTAACCACATGTTGTTATTGTTTCCTGGTATGTGTGTATCATCACATGTGACACTTAAATTTAGCTTTCTAATTCTTTATCTTCAGGGCTGGCCCATCTCCTCTCTTACTATAAATGTTTCTCTCCCACCTCACAAACTCTTTTAAAGCTGTTTTTTGCAAGTGACTTATCCATTCTTGAGTTCCACATCATGATGTTCAGGTTATGTTTATGAGATTGTAATTGCTGCTCTATGTTGTAATCTCAGTTTATGCAGTTTGTTAATCCTGCTTTGCCAATCATCAAAGTTCATTTTTACAGTTCTTTTCTATGTGAAACTACTCAGGACCTCCCACAATCATAGCTTTTCCTTCCCTTCCTACTAGTTAAACTGGTTCACAATTATCCTTAGTTTTTTTCTTTTCCTCTTCCTTTATTCCAATTTAATATTGTCCTGGCATTTTATTGATGGTAGAAATAACCTCTATATTAGGGCTGGGATTGTGGCTCAGTGGTAGAGCACTCCCCTAGCGCGGGCAGGACCTGGGTTCCATCCTCAGCACCACATAAATGATGTTGTGTCCATCTACACCTAAAAAAATAAATATATAAAAAAAGAAATAACCTCTATACTCTATAGACAGCAATTTGGAAATATATCAAAATTTCAAGTGCATGTACTCTTGACCCATCATTTCCACTTCAAGAGCCTCACACGTTTGAGATTATTCGCTAAAAGTATTATGTGTAACCACAAAAACTTGGAAACAAATGTCTACCAAAGAGAACTGGTTAAATTTATTAAGGCATAGTCAGTAGAAAATATGCAGACATAAGTATATATGAGGAAGTTTTTGTTGTTGTTCTTATTATACTTAGTATGAAAAGAACTCTAAGACTGGTACATTTTTAAAAGAAAGGTTTAGAATAGTGAGAATTTGTAAACTAACTTTCTCTCTCTCTCTCTCTCTCTCTCTCTCTCTCTCTCTCTCTNTATGTGCTCCCCACACATCCCTTCTCCAATACCCTTTTGGTTAATACGCCTCTGAAATGTCTTTGATCTGCGGTACCATACAGAGGCTTCCTTTGCCCCTGAGTCTTTCTGTGTGTGTGTGTGTGTGTCCACATGAATTGCTTATTCATGCATAAAATAACTGCAAAGATACAAAACAAACTGATAACATTGGATTCTGACTTCTGGCTATCATACAGATGTAGAAGGAGACCTTTTGCTATATCTTGAATTTTGAATGATTGGGGAATATTTCTTATATTCATGTTATATCAGATTCATATTTCAAGTTATATAATCCTAAATCTGGCACTAACGTTCCATCTTCTGTAATCTTACTTTTCAGGAGTAAATCTAATTTATTAAATCTTGGATACCCTGATATAGCCCAGAACCATTGGAAAAGGTTGGAGAGAAAAGGTAAAATAAATAGGAAACTCAATATTCACCCTTAGCTCTTGTGAGCCACTACATAGCAACCCCTAAGCTGGACTGGCCATCAAAAAATCTGTGCCTCCAAGTCCTCAGGTCTTACTGAGTGGCCACCAGAAATCATTTCCACAACACAGAGCAGACTTAAGAACCGTGGCTTAAGGGTATGATCAGAACCAGAGCAGAAAGAGCAGTCTGCAGCACTCTTGTTAACAGCAGCTTCTTTTTTTCATTGAAACATAAAATGGAATTTGAGGATAAAGCTGGAGCTATCCTGAGGAAGTTTACTTCAGTTCTGGCTACTTAAAAAAAAAAAAAAAAGTCCTGTCTTTTCCAAACCACAAGCAATCAGCCCTTAGGCTAAATACATTCACTGGAAAAAAACAGCAGCAGTATAGGAAGGAAAGCAGCATTCCCTTTATTCACACAATTACAACCTCTGGTGACCTGAGCTAGCAAAATGTCTCACTCAAAATAAACATCTCCATCACATGACCGCAGTGCAGCTTCAGCAACACTCATAATTTTAAGTCCCTGTGCTCCAGCAGCTACAGAGAGAGGCAGAGGACCTGAGTATATTAGCAAAGAGCATGCTCAGTTACAAGAATGAGGAATTTATTTCAGGTCATGTGGCTGCTCACTGAATATCACAGGTTTAAACAGTCTACAGAATTCCTCCACATGGAAACCTAATATTTGTACTAGCAATGGGGAAGGGCTGTGATCTGGTAAAACAAAGGCTAAAAACTCAGGGTCTATGTTGCCTCTTGCCAAAACTGCCTGATGGAAAAACAACAACAAAAAGCTCAGATTATAAAACAATGCTTCAGAAAAGAAAGAAAGAAAAAGAGAGAGAAAGAGAGAGAGAAAGAGAGAGAGAGAGAGAGAGAGTAAAATGACTGCTTTAGCAATATATATCCCAGAAGTGGGAGCTCTCCTTTCTTTCTGACTTCCCCTACAAAGGGACTGAGTGGCTGCCACATTAACTGCATTTTTCCACAGGTGGACTGACTCTCCACTCACACATCCCACACACGTAATCCCTATACTGACTGGTGTACAACCAGGCAGGTGACCAAAATTGGCCCAAAGAGATGCAATCCTAGGGCTTTTTCTGGAATCTTTAAGAAAAAGAATGTCCGCAGGGGCTGCCAGCCTGGCAGGACATCAATGCACAACTACTGACAGCATCTTTGTTACCAGATGGTAGAGACTTTCTGAGAATAAAAGAAAACCAAGTGATACAGTAAAATTGATTGTCAATGACTCTGTGAGATTACCCTGATCTAGTCATATCAGACTTTTTAAATCCCAGACTTTTCAAGCTATGTGACATAACAACTCTCTCTTCTTTTTTTCTTAAGTGTCTTTGAGTTGACTTTCTGCAACTTTAAGCCTTCTCACTAAGCTTTACTGAATTCTGCCTCCAAAGCCCTAATGTATATTCACATGTAATTACATATCTTGAAGTATTGGTAAAGTGACAAAATTAGAATAAAACCCTACTGCTTTTCTATGAACATTTAAGGCACAGTCCATTTGATTAATAAATACTTCATACAGATTGGTTTTTTGTGTCTGAGACCTCTGAGGCATGTAAATATCTAATTCAAGTCTACATTTCCATTTCTAACATGCTAACAATGCTATCAGTAAGTGATCAATAAAAACTGGCTATTACTATGTGTCCTGCACTGAGTTAAGGACTGCACATACATGATCCTACTCACTCCTCAGGACAACCAAAGAAATAGCAAGTATTGCTATCTCTATCATTTTATAGGAGAAGAAATGGGGATTTGGGAGTGAAATTACTTGGCCAATATCATAAAGCTTCTGAGTAGCTTAGCATGGGTCAAAGATGGAGCTCTGAATCACTAGAAACTACTGTCTCAGCTTACTAGAGATATCCTCCTTTGGCAATTAACTACACTTCTTACTAAATACAAGAAGTGGGTTTTCAAAAGCAATGTAAAGAATATGCCTACACATTGAAGTGTCCCAATTGCCAGCATTTATCCAGCAAACAGAAATATGGCACATGTAAGTGCAAACAATGTTGATGCCTTTCAGAAAGGAACAATATGCATGTTTAGAGTTTTAAGAAGCCTAGAGATGAAGGTAAACCAAGTACATACAAAATGCCAAATTCTAAACATGAATACTATGATAGGCACTTAACTTTTGTAAGTTTATTTGGTCTTCACCACAAAGTTATCCAATTTATAGATAAAAAAAATGAAGTTTAGAGAGATTAAGTAACTAACTTATTGAAGTTCATAGAGCTACTGAGCAGATATATATGAGTAAATCTGCCTAGGTTTTTCTGAAACCAAAACTTAATCTTCGTTTGTACCTCATAATGCTGGGTGTAAATATAAAGATTTGAAGGTAAAGGCACATGAAGGTGGTTGTCTAAGGTTAAAACAGGCTGATCTCTCAAATAAAAATGCTACAGAGCCTAACCATCTCTAAACTTTTATCCAAAAAGGAGTCTGGCATGCTCTAACTAATGGCAAATGGGGCCTCAAAAACAAAAGTAAGAAAATATTCTTTTAGACAAGGCATGTGCACGGGCACAACCATATGACCCATCAGAAGAAAAGAAACATGCCATCTGAGGGCTCCATCTGGGTCAGTGAAATGTATGTAAACAAAATGTCTCCAGACTCTCTGGATATAGTGACAGTGGCCTGTTGGGAAGCTGTACTTCATCCCAGTACATTGTAACTACCTTGGTTCTTACAGAAGTCATTTTGTGTCCCTCCATGTTTGTCTGATCCTTCCCTCATTACTGCATGCCTTTCCATCCTTGTCAGCAGTTTGAGGGAGGATAAAAACTTAGAGCCAATACTGGGTGGTTTGGGTATTGCTGAAATTTGCAGCCACAGCAAAACCTGATAACTTGATATTAACAAATCATTGTGTCACTAGTTGCATAGATATTCCTGGCACCCAGTGGCTGCCACAATTGGGGTTGACCAGATGGCTGAGTCCATATTAGGATAGCCCCTCCCAGTTCCCTACTTATTCAGGTCTAAGCTTAGTACAATTATAGGACCTTCCAGAATTTGTTGTATCGTACCCACCTCTGCTTTTCTCTGCTTTTCCTCTTGCTCTCTTTGCTCCTTCTCCATGCCAACCAGCTTGAGCTTCAGCTCAGACACTTCAGTCATCAGATCAAGCTTCTGGGTCTCAAGAGATGTGCGACTTAACAGCTCCTACAAGAAAAACAGATCTCAAATATCATAAACCAACATTGCTACAAGGATAGCTCTAGCTCCATCTATAGATGTAAGGCAGTATCTAAGTTGTATATTGCATACTACAAAACTGAGACTGTTGCATATAACCTCCAGGTCTATTAGAGATGGACCAGGGCTGACACTGGTTCTCTCAGGGATAGCACATGCCCTGGTGTGACCCACTGTGATTTTTGAAAGACAATATGAATGACAATTATCAAAACACATGTTTCACCACAGAAAATTCTTGTTAATTATTTCCAAACAGAAAAAAAATACATGGGTACTCTCAAAGAATCAACTTCTTCCCATCTCTATTTTTAAGGCAAATTAGCAGTTCCTCTCTACCATATAAACAAAAATTCACATTAATAATGTCTTTTTCAAAACCAAAGTTTCTAGATCACCTGCCGGGCACAGTCAATATTGAGTCCAATCTCCAACCATCTCAATATAAGATCTCATTACAGTGAACATAGATGGGATTTAGAATAGAAAGTGGATATTTATGAGTATTTATTTGATGATTGTATAGGAATCTTAATATGAGATGGATCTTTTCTGAGAAGTACCAAAATTACAATTTGAACATTGTGGTACATAAACAAGAAGGCTGTTCTTTCCTGATTGTGAGGAGAGATCAAGAAAGTTATTACTAGCCCTGCCAACGCTAGAATGGTGACTGACTACAATCAGATATCTCAGATCTTTAACAACAAATTTGTCATAAATACATACACTTATAAAATACACTTACTAAAAAACAAAGGAGATAGTAAAAAATCTGCTGAGGGTTACTAGAAATTATAAAAGACTTCAAAAACCAAAAGCACTTCCCAAAGTTCAGGACAACAGATATTTCCATTGGCAAATAGCAATGTCCTGTCATGGTCAAAATCCTGGCACACGGTAGTTCCTGGCAAGGAGAATGTTCCTGGCAATCAGGACAGCAACAGACCAAAGTATTAGACAGAAAAGACATAATATCCTTCATTGTTCTACACATTTTGTATCATCTTGGGCATCCCAACCCCAGTACAACAATGGTGATCTCAACATTCTGACCTAACAGTTCTGATTTCATAGATTTAAAACTGTCCTCAGGTCATAAATCAAACCAGAGAGGACAGATAGTTTGACTTGTATTACATAATTCCCCAGGTCAAAGGCTGCCAGTACCTGGGACAAACTGCTCATGTGCTAACCTGAGGGGATGAAAATCTAGAAGTCCATCAACTCAGTGCAATGGATTCTCTGAGCTCTGAGCTGAGGAGGTGGTTTCTTCCTGGACTGGCCAAACTAGAAGCTGACTGACAGGGCAGAGGCAGCAGCTCTGCAGAGCCAGAACTGGGCTACTTGGCTACAAGGAGTCAGGCAGATAAGTGTGTCCAATGCAATGGAGAATTTGGATTTGTTGAGTGCCTCCTCTGTGTCAGATACTGCTGGGTACTTTCACTTATATCCTCTTAATAAATCCTCTTAGGAATTTGACAGTAAATATTAGTATCCCAGTTCTATAGATGAGGAAACAGAACTGAAAAGGGTAAGTAAATCTTTTGGCCAAAGACTCATGCTAATCATCAGCAGCATTAGTTTTCAAACCCAGTTCTGTTTAATTCCAGAATTTATTTCTGTCTAAGATATCACACTGCTTCCCAAACAGAAAAAAAAATACAAGAATTTTGAGGAAAAAAAAACCATATATACATAGTATTAAGCAAATTTGCACTGAGCCAAGGAAATATCCTCTCAGATTGACAAGATTTCATTGAGCCACATACTATCTACCAGGGTCTGATGCTAAGGTTAGGCAGGCCATGGAGGGCCTTAAGCAATTCTTCCCTGGATGGAGGACACACAGAAATTATGAGTTCTCTTGGTCTTGAGTATTTGAATTTCTCAAGATGTAATCATCCCCATATCACCTATTCCCTTAACCCCCTCCTCTTCTTCTTTTTCCCCCTGACCCTTACTTTCTACCATCTCATTGTCTATCTCTTCCCATCTTTCATCTACCTGCCTTGTTTCAAAAATGATTTAAGGAAGTTTGAAAAATATATATATCCAGGTTAAAAAAATCCTAAAATTAAAGCAGATAGAAATAGAAGTTGAACTCAAGAGTTACAGTTTGTAGAAAACTCATGCTATAAAGTCCTGTGAACAAGTAGGAATGGACTACAATGAATATGCAAGCTTACTTACTGCAATGCAACAAAGAAAAGGAAAAATTTCACAAATTAAGGTCCACAAGAACAATTACTTCAGAGATCTAAAAAGAAAAGTTCTCTAGGAGACTTCATTTATATTTTTAAATGCTTACCAGAAGCCAACACTTAGGGACATCATGTTAAAATACAGCCCTTGTTGACTACTTGAGTGCTGTAAGATGATATTCATGCAATTTTTCTACTGATGAGCATTTGAGATACTGCTTTGGTGGAATTCAAAAAAGCTTCAGAATGTGTCTCCCTTGAAAGTTAAAAGTCTATTCTGCTTCCACTACTGCCAAAATCTCTCTAGCTGTTTTAACTACCAGTTGTAATTGGTCATACCAATGTTCTAGCTGATGAGAATAATATTGTAATTGGTTCCAATATCCAGTCCAATTAGCCAGTTTTTCACTTGGTCATGCTCACATTGAAAGTGGACATTCCAGTTGGACATGCTAGTGTTAATTAGAAACCTATTATGATTCACTAATAATAAAGCTTTGGCTTACTGTCTCCTAGCTTATAACTATTAGCATGTTCTTCTACCTGTGATGATCATCTTCCCTTTGTCCTTGTCAATAAATGTTCTAGTACATGAATTCAAAACACAGTCTTCAGTAAGCTTACTGCAATCCAGCTCTACTTCACTATCTCCGGACTGAGCAAGGCCTCTTACCACTTATTATGTACTGGAATCTCTAAAAATGTATAACTTAGTAGGAATTAAATCACTGACACTCTCAATTACTCCTTCTACTTCCAAAATAAACAGAATCTTGTATTTTTTTCACAGTGTGCCATGTTCTTCCAGTCATCTTAAGCGGAGGACACTGTGTTCCCACCAACCCAATTTACTGAACACCTTCATCCCTGTTCCAGGACTGCTTCCAGACCACTGTTTGTCTCCACTAATCATCTACATCAACCCTCCTCTTATATGGAAGCACCATTCAGTTATATTCTCCCCAAATATCCAGAACCAAGACATTCTCTCATTTCCCATCAACAGCTTTCATCAATATCTTTTCTACCTACTTTGGGCACTTTGTGTCTCCTCAGTAGATTCAACATCGTCGTTAATGATTTTTCTGCTCAGTAGTCACATTGACCTTCTGTTCAGCTTCACAGTGAATCTCGGCTCCCACAGGCTTTACTTCTACTTCCTTTTAGCTTCTCAGCAGCATGGCCAGAGCTTGATTCTCATCTTTACCCAGAATGTATATTCTCTGCTTCTAAAATCCTCAACTCCGAAATTCCCTCCACTGGCCACAATCTTCTAACCTTTCAACTGCCCTACTTGCTCACTCAATCTCTAATTTCTTCTTCTGTGACCACTAGTTACTTAGTAACTCATTGTTTTCCTGGTTTATCAACTTCCTTTAAGTAGTACTTGTCTCCCTATCCACTAGATAACCGTAAGGTTAGTCATTTCAATTGTACTCTTATTTATACCAAAAAAATTCTTCACCCAGCTCACCCTACTCTGAAACCTGATGTACTGTGTGTTCATTAGAGCCCAATTCAGCCAAGTCTCAGTCTTTTGTTTGTTTCCATTCCCAAAGGCATGACAATTACTAGCAAAAGTCATTTAATGATGGTTTTGATACACATTCACACTATCAAATTACAGTCTATCTTCCAATACTGCCTGAAAAATGTTGTGCTCATCTCTGATTCCTTTAAGGGATTTCTCCAAATCTTTTCTGTTCTCAAGCCATAAATCCCACAATGCACCCCTCTCCAAATAATTTCTCCTCGTGTTTACTGAAAAGCGAAAAACCAACAGATTATTCACTGAACTTAAGTTGTTCCAATTTCAACATTTTTCAGAATCATCTCATTCTTATCTCCTAAATCCCTGTCTTAGAAGTAGCAAGCACTCGGCTCCTTTCCAAGGCTAATGTGCTACAACAGCACATGGCCATCCTCTCTGTCAGGTTCTTTCACTTTTTAGAACAGTTCTCTAGCCCAAAAAGTTTCCAGATTGCACAGAAAAAGTACGCATCAAAGGATACAGTGCTTCCAGAATTTGTTCCTGAATCGTCACCTCTCACTGACCTTCCTGTCTCTTGCCATTTCTCAGTCTCCAGATTCTTCAGGCATCCTCACACGACCTGATGAAACTTAAAAGTTATCTTTGACTTTGTCCCTGTGTTATGGACCTGCTTCTCTCTCTAGCTGGTAACTCAGAATGACTCCCATTCACATGGCCCTAGCCTCTCCTTCACCTCTGTGCTCTGTTTGAGGAGTTCCCAGCAAGCTCAGTACTAGTCTAGGGTAGGACCATCAATCATCTACTTTGACAGGCATTTAATCTCTCCTCACCATCAGCTCTCATTCCTCAGGCTATAAACATGATCAAATTTCTGACATTCTTAAGAAACTCCCCTCTTGACCCTAACTGCCCCTCAAGTTACCACCATCAACTCCCATGTCCTCTCCCTGGGCAAGTACATGCTGTGTGTTTAAGTGCTGTGTTTCTCTGCCCTTTCCTCCCCTCTTCATAACCAAGCTTTAAAAATAATATATCTCTGGGGCAGGGGTTGTGGCTCAGTGGTAGAGCGTTTGCCTAGCATGTGTGAGGTATTGAGTACAATTCTCAGCACACATGTAATTTAAAAATAGGTCCATCAACAACTAAAAAATATATATATTAAAAAAATAATCTATCTCTGCTGCCTCATCTTCTCAACAAGATATCTGCCTACCTGAAATCTGGTTTCTGCCCTCACAAGTAAGGCACAGAAATAGTTCTGGTCTGGAAACTGATGTCCAACCTTTCAGAAGCTCTGAGATGAAAACTTTTTAATTTCCAGGAAAGGCAATATATTTGTCCTTCTGGAAGAGGTTAGTGGTAGTGGTGAAGTGCAGGGATCCTGACTATACTTCTTGGTTCTTAACAGTCTCCACTTCATCAACTGGTATAAGCTACTCCTTGTCACCCCATCTTCCCTGTTCCAGATTTTCTTGACCTTTCTTTTTCCTCTTCATCTGTTTTGCTGACTGCTTTTATTCTGTTTACACTTAAAGAAAAACATTCATGAGACTCTAGTTCTCATTTCCAGGACTGGCTCAGCTCTGGATCCAGCCTCCTTGTCTGGAGCACTAACATCTTCCCCAGGCAAGGTTTGCCCCACACTCAGGAATCCTGACTTCCATGGGGTAATCCTGCTGGGACTCTCTTGGAGTCCTGCAGCTAGCACAATGTGTGGGGAGGGAAGGAGAAGGGAGGCAGGGGGCTGAGGATAAGGGGCAAAGGTTTAATAAACAGCATTCTGCTTGCTCCAAATTGTTTCAAGGTTTCCTGGAGGGATGAGGAGGGAGGGGTATGATGGGCTTGTTTTACTTACTGTGAAGGATCATGAAACTGGCTAATGATGCCTCAGGAAAAACAGTGGATAAAATTATCACTCACCCCTCTCACTTCACCACTACCACTAATCTCTTCCAGAAGGACAAATACATCTCCTTTCCCAGAGATGAAAGAAAGTTTACATCTTAGAATAACTCTCCATTTCCTTTTGCCCAAGCTCAGGTTCTGACTGGAGCTGATAAAAAGAATTTGCCATTCAGGCCACATGTTGAAGCAATTACCTCCATCTTTAAGTGTGGAATATGAACCAGGGAATTACTGACCAATGACAGAGGACTACAACCAGACTGGCAATCTGAAACTAGAATGAAATAATGGGCCATGGAAAGACATGTAAGAAAAAAATATGTTCCTTTGCCCTTTGATGCAAAAGACCTGAGCCTTGCCAGGAAGCCTGGATCATGAGTAACACTGTGCAGAGAAGAAGTGCTTACAGTAAAGTTTGAGTCCAGATTCAGTCCCCACTAACTAGACCATCTCTCTGAACCTCAGTCTTACCTATAAAAAGAGGTTAATGTATCACTCCTTGCTGTGGTCTAAGACACTCAACATCAAACAAGATAAACATGAAAAAACTAGTTATTTGTGCCTCATGAATCTCCCAGAGGGAATTTTAGAGAATATTTGGGAAATGCCTGCTTTCTTCACACATGACTCAGTGTCTCACCTCCTTGAATGGATTTGTGCTTCTTCCAGATCATATACATGGCCCTGTTTAATATTCTCTCTCTGAGACAGAAATACCTTTTTACTAGCTAGGCACCGATCAAGTGTCCTAGGCCCCCAAACCCCCTGCTCAACATCTTAACTTATACAGGCCATTTGTATGATAGTGAATTTTTAAAACACAAGAATAATTTTACAATTCTAGGTGGTAGTAGAGTTGGACGACGTGGAGTCCATATTACATCCTGTAAGAAAAGTCCATATTATAACATGTAAGAAAAACATGTCCATCAACCTTCCCAGACCAACTGCCATTAGCCAGTTATAGAAGCTCATGTCCACTGACTCCCAATCCCCTACACTGTCACTCTGCATGCTTCACCTAAAAGACATCCAAAGCAATGAAGCTGACCAAACCCAGAAACTCTGGGTCAGGTGAGAGACCTGAAACAAAGGCTGTTGTCACCCAGGGTTTCCCATAGCAGTAGGGTAGTATCCTCACAAAGAAATGGAGGTTTTCCTTTTGGCACTATACATCACTTCTGTTCTTGATGTTAATTATATCTGTAAATAGCCAGTCTCTGGGAAAAATTTCTCTGTGGCTGACGCCCTATGTAAAACCTCTGATCCACTAGGTGCCATGAGCTTCTTCCCTGAGATCATGCTCCTCTGGAGAAGGGTCAGTGATCAAGGCAAAGAAGCTCAATGTGCAGGAATGAACCAGATCTCAGAAAATCCACAGAGGCCACTTTAGAAAAAGCCATATGGCCTGAAATATACCAACAGACCCAGAGGAGCTTTTCCTGATAGAGATTTTGTCACCAGCACAGTCTGAGCAAATCATGAGGAAGTCACTGACTCAGGCTATATTCCTGGGGTGCAATTCTGGGCCCTGGGTTCAGATGGCTTCATTATGTAGCTGGGTAAATGTGCAGATGTGCTCAAGAACCAGATATAGTCCCCATTAACTCTTGATGGGAGCACCTTCAGAGCTCTATATCCAGGCCCAGACAGTTCCAGACCAATGAAGCTGACTCAGGTTGTCCCTCATATATACACTTCCTGAGAAATGTCTTCTCTTAATGGGGAAAGTTTTCTGGAAAAGCCAGACATGCTCAATGAGTCTGAGACCATAATCGAAGAAGGTACTTCTTCAGGCAGTTCCCAAGGGTACTCAGAGCATCTCCCTTCCCACCCTGCACCCAGCAGAGGGTCGCAGACAAGAAATATTATTTTGTGCTCAAATGTGTCCCCAGTCTATGTTCGGCTCATATGGACCTTCCCCTGTGCTGACTCTCTGTTTCTGGTTTGCCTGTCTAATCCCAAAATGGGGGTCTTCATGTTCTCTCCTTCTGGAGGCTCAATGAGTTCACATACAGATGAAAACAGCTGGGAGCTGAGAGATGAACAATAAGCAAGGACTGAGTTGGGCTAGGCTGAGAGGTGCCTGGCTCATGAGTTGGGTGAGAGATAACTCTTCCTTTTGGCCTCCTGAAAGAGGTTGACATTGGGTATGAGAGCAGCTGTGGGATGGGCTTGCTGGAGCCTGAGGACAGGATCTGGGCTATGCTTATTTGGGGTTCCTTAAGTCCCCCAGTGATATTTCAGTCAGCAATGGGAGCAAAGTCTAGAGTAGACTTCAGATTGGAGGCTTGCAGGCTATTCTTGACCTATAGATGTGTACTCTGATTCACATGACATTTTAAATTAGTCGGCAATATAGAAAAATTAATACTTTTAAATCTTTAATTCAAGACTTTTAGCTTTTTGTGAAAAATAGGACTATCTAGCATTATGCAGCTCATACAGGCAGTCAACTGGAATTGAATAATAACTGCCACCATTAGGATGCATTCAATGTGCAGAGTATCAGAAGCAGCATCCCTAGGGATGCACTGTGTCTGCAGGCAGTCAGAAGGACCCGCTGGAGACAGGAAAAGGGTCTCCTTCAGATAAGCCAGGCTTGGATCAGGGCAGGAATGGTCTAAGGCTAGCAGAAGGAGGCAATTGTTTGCCTCCATTCTCTGCCTCTAGGCCATGAGTCATTCCTGCTCCTAATACCAGAAGCCAAGAGCCCTGCAGCTCAGGATATCTTTGCCAATTTGAACAGGTCTCCGCCTGCCCCCAGTTCAGAGGACATATAAATACTCTAAGCTGTAGATGGCATTACATCAGTGCTGTGGTACAAGAATCAAGTGTCTATACAGAGAGCTTCAAGCAGATTTCAGGAAAGCAATAGCATGTGCAAAAACTTGAGATGCTCAAATGTGTCCCATGTCTTAAACAAACAATGTGTCAAGAAATTTTACATTTGAAAGATTGAGAGAACACAATGAAACCTTATGGGCACAAAAATAACTTGGTCAAGCTCAGGAAGATCTTAAAACCCAAAAGTGGCAAATAAAGAGCTACCATATTTCCAAATATACCAGGTCACAACATCCACCTCTATGTATGGTACATGCAAATTATCTCAACTCATTACACACAAGAAAGAAGATCTAGAATAAACAGATACAAAGGGTAATTGATCTTAAGACTTTTTAAAAAGTCTAAAATGTCATCCAGGGGGTAATGCCAGACACTCTCCATGTGGTGCTGGGCACCTACATCAAACTCCTTGACACAGAGACTCTGAGGATGGAGCAGAAACACAGCCAAAGAGAGATGTAGAACAGTCCAGAAGAGAAGCCAGGGCAGCCAGGCAGATAACTCAGGCACTACAATGCATCCATTCTCTGACCTCTGATTATGTGGTTACTCACCAGACAACCTTCTGACATTTTTCTCACGTGTTCCCTTCTGCATTCAAATTTTTGTGGTTTCTTTTTGGATTATTCACAACACTCCATCATCTTCCTCCATTATCCTTTCCATCTCAAACCCACACTTGTGCAGACTTGAAAATATAATCTAGTGCAATGTTTTATGCACTCTTCATGAAAATGCTCCCTTGCCATTTCAGATTTTTCCCATCACACTATTTTCCTTCCTGAGTCTTCAAAAGAAACAT